TTTTTGATTTTTTTAACTTTTTATGCAAAAATTTTAACATTGAAGTCAATGGGGAAATCTTCCAATTCTTCCTGTTTTTCTTCCACCTTCTGAACCTTGTAACTTCTGCATACTTTCACCTAGAGACCTCATTTTTGCTTTAAAATGTTCATTCACTTGTCGACTATTACAGTTGTACTCAGTTTTTTGATATCTCTTACAGTTTTTCCACAATTTAGCTTTAAGCAACTTGTGGTTTTCAGCAAATTTCAAGCTTTATAATGGGTGTGTATTGGAGAGTTTAGAGTGATGATGTCATCAGCTAGAGTGCAGACCTCGTCTCTGATCGACAGAACCTCGCTCGAATATATCGCTCCCACGCCCACAAATCTCACTCCACTGACACAAATAATACATCAAAATGGAGGTATATGTGTCCTGCTTCTCACAAAAGAGGTTTCAAATCATTAAATCGTACCCCTTGGCCAGCAGGTGACCAACTGTCCAAAAAAGGCGGAAATCTCTCCCATTGACCGTAATGTTATTGTTCTCCAAGAAAATCCGGATCATCGCTCAGGCTCAGACTTTTTTAACTCGCTGTTGTGGCCTCATTTTTCGAAGTACAGACATGAAAAACACATCATTGTGTTCATGAAGGACGGAGGATTCGTACGATGTTCTTATTTTCATTCTGGGACTTAAGGAAATCACGCTATGTGAAGAAGTTCACAGGCTTCAAATCCTCTGCAGTTCAGCTGCTTCTCATTCAAACAGTAGGTCAGTGATTTGCCTTTGATCTCACAGCTGTTAGGGATGCAATCATTAATGAGACACACACACACACACACACACACACACACACACACACACACACACACACACACACACACACACACACACACACACACACACGCACGCACACATTCTTGTACTTGTTGCATTGTGAGGTCTACCTTGCAGTTCAGCTGCTTGTACACACAGGTAATATGTGTCTGCTTCGCCACCTATCTCCACCCACAAACTTTGAGCTACAGAAACCATTCTGGGCTTGAAAAATTCAGCTCATTGAAGATATTATGGGGTGTTTTGAGGATTGTGATAATAAATTGTATGAATGTGTTTAGCAGAGTCTTGTGTTCTCACAAGCTCCTTATCAGGAATAGATACAGAGGATGAGCGTCAGGGCCTACTTGGAGTCCTGTTTCCTTAGCTTCAAGCCTTCTTTCTCCTGCTTTAGTTCTGCATCCAGGGTCCCCATGGCAACCAATTTGTGCACCTGGAGACACACAGCTGACTGGAAAGCTGCTTCTAATGGCCATATGAGACACATGAAGCCAGGCTCAGCACATATAGCACTGGGGATGACACTTAAAACCCTTTACTAGAGCGCTTGAAAAAACTTCAGCCCCTATCTCCTCACATGACCTTTGACCTACAGAAACCATTCAGGGCTTTAAAATTTGAGCTCATTGAGGACATTATGGGGTGTATTTAGGATTTATATACATTTAGATTTTTCACATTTTAAAGTCACTCAGTTATGATTTATCATTTAATTTTTCAAACTAATTTGAACTGATTCAAACTGATTCAAACCTTTCTAATACTTAAAAAATTAAACTTATGCCACTTCCCACCTTCCTGCCTTTTAAGGCAATTTCCTTCTTCATTCAAACTTTGTGCAATTTTAGACATTTTTCTAGCCTCTTTCAGCATGAATAAAATTTCTTTTTATAGAGCATATTCATACTATTTGTCCTTCAACCAATTAATCAATTATCCAACTTACATTTCTTTCACACCCCTTCAACAGCTTTAACATTTATACATTTCTCCATGTTTTATTAGCAGTTTAGCATTGCTTTTTCAGCTTTCAGCACTCAGCATTTCCACGCATTTTCTGCAAGGAAATGCAATTTTTTTTGTTTTTAACTGTTTGTTTCTTTTAACTTTTCAGACCAAATTTTAAACACAGCTGCAGAAAGCTCCAGTTTGTTTGTGTGAGAGAAAACTGGAGCGACATGAGCCAAGTCAGTTTGAAACAGGTGGAAACAAAAACGGGTTACAAACAATATTTTGTGTTAATACTAAATCTATCATCATTCTCAATACTTAGGATTTACAGATTATTTATGCTGCAGTCATGAAAATGAGGTCTGTTTTTACCTGCTACAATTTAAAAGTTTAATGCACTCTTGAGTTAAATTAGATATTGTTTAAAAAAGGGCCGTTCCGCACAAAAGTCCTTCTGACTTTAGCACTTTTATTTATTGTTGATGCTCATTTTAAAGCTCCTGTGAGAGGATTTAACTGGTCATGAAAATAAAGTGGAGGACACATCATTTGCGCATGTGCAGGACAAACTCTGTGATAATGGATGACATGCTTTGTCCACAGGGGGGCGTCAAAATCAATTTAAAGTTCCTCACAGGAGCTTTAAAACGGCAGAGGTCAGCCACATTTGTTTTTACTTTAAACTCCGGTGAGGGTCTATCCGTTGGTAACGATTGTGGCGCCCCCTGTGGTCAAAGTAGACCATTTTGTGTGAAATGTGTCCCTCACTGTTAACTTTTTATGAACCATTAAAACTCCTCACAGCAGCTTTAAATCAAAAATCTAACTTCTTCATCCACCTCTGATTAAAATATGCATTAATGGATTTATTTACAGTGTGTGGGTGTTAAGTATATGGGATTTATTAAGACGACTGTTGATCAGTGGTATGAGATTTAAAGGGTTTTAGGTGAGAGTTCCTAGCCGGTGAATAATGCAATAGAATATTTAATATTTACAGTTTACTCTGTTCAGTTTAGAGGATTCTATGAGATGTGAAGATGCACTGAAAACTCCTAAATGTTCAATATATTCAAGGAAAGTTTGAGAGAAAACCAGCAGCAGCACTGAACAGATAACATGTTTTATGTACTTTTCTCTTCTTTTCACTAAAGTTTACTCTGCTTGAACCTGTGTGTGTACGGAGATGAAGCTTCACTCGACTGTTACTGTGTGTGTATGAACTGAGAGGCTGTTTAGCTTTAAAATAAAGGCTTGAAGAAAGAGCAATACTGTGTGTGCTTCTGTCCGCATTTCACATTCTCCAAAGTGGCATTGCAAATTTATGTTGTTTAAAAACCTGCGTGCTAAATCGGTTTATTTGTGACAGTAAAATGAAGCTGCTGTACCGGTGCAGATAAAGCTAAACTCCAGTACGATAGCCGCATCCAAAAAATAAAGTCAGATTTCACCTCTGAGCCAACTGTATGTAAGTAAATGACGTGTTTATCAGCCTGATTCGGTGACATTAGTAGGGCTTTATTGAAAATAGCTGTGTAGAAGATCAGCATTGTTATTAAAATATAACTTGAATGAATAAATGCAAAAATGTGTATATAGTGGGTATGATATTTCTTGTTTTAAATACAGTATGCACAGTCTATGGATACCCACATCTGACCACTAGGTGTCACTAACAGGCTGCAAAATGAACTGCTATGATTTGTCACAGCCATGGAAACAAAACATTAGAGCTGAGCAGCAGGTTAATCAAGCAGTGATGTTTTTTATGATGAATTACATCATTTTACTGTAGTGTAATAATTTTCTGCCCTGAAAAACACAACTTCAAACACTGTTACAGTTCAGACATTTATGCTCTACTGTCAGACATGTTTCACATTAAAAGCTCACAAAGTGTCATCATTTAGAGTTGTAATAGTTCTGTGTTGAAAAATGACAAACATGTTGCAACAGTGACAGAAAACTGCAGATCATTCACAGAAGTTAAAAGATGTCCTTTGTGACTGTTCTGCTCTTAAAAACTCTGCTACAAGATTATTATGATAATTGCGTTCATAAATAATTAAAGTGTTAATGTTGCAGTAAATTGAGGTGGAGCAATTTTAACTCTCCGGGTTAATCTACTTAAAAAGTATTTTGTTGCTTGTTTAAGTTGTTAAATTATTCACAAAGAGAAAGGGACTCATGTATGAAGCTGATTTAGTCAAAAATGTCCATTAAAAAAATACATTTAAATCAAACTATAGAGAAGTATTAAAGGATTCATATAAGCAAACGAACAAAAATATGGTTTTATACTAGATATACTTGATTGCATAGAAGTGATATTAATTCTGAATATTATAACACTGATTATTATTATAATATGCAAATAATGATAATAAGTGACCTATGTAGTGATGCACAGATATCTTTGTGTATAATAAGTAGGTATTCATCAGATCTTTGTAATTAATACAATTAGATTAATTTAAAAATCTCTAATTTCCAAGGAAGCGGCAGGACTAGATAAGCTCTTCCCTTCATTCTGTTCCTTCTCAAACTGTTAATTTTTGACATACATATGTTGTGTAAATTCATTGTTGACATGTACAGTTGTTTGGTGTACATATGTATTATTTTTGTCCTGTGTTTTTGTTTCTAGTCTTCTTTCCTTTTTTTGTTCTTATAGTTTGAGATGAATAATGAAGAAAGAAAGGAAAGAAAAGAGTAAGTCTTCCTGACATAAAAGCTGTCTAATAAATGTGAAGTAGATTCATCTCAATTTGTTAATCAACTTTTTTTTTCGAGTAATTGACTAACTGTTCTTTTGCTTTAGAATTTTCGACGTATTTTGCGTCATCTGTAGGACTTTGGTCCGTATTTTCTCAGATATTCATTGGGATATTTCGAGTAATCGACTAAGTGTTCTTTTGCTTTTGAATTTTTGGCGTATTTTGTGTCATTTGTAGGACTTTGGCCCGTATTTTCTCAGATATTTATTCAGATATATTGAATAATAGAGTAATCGACAAAATCTTCTTTTGCTTTAGAATTTTCGACGTATTTTGCGTCATTTGTAGGAATGTTGCCCGTATTATCTCATACATTTCCTGACATATATCAGGACACAGTCACAGTGGTTTAACTTTTCTCATTATCTAAGTATTCCGCCTCCTGACGTGACGTCGGAGTGACGCAGCAGTCTGACGGACAGGTAAGCCGACACCGGCCGCCATATTGGGAAAGAACGGAAGTGAGAGAGAGAGAGGGCGGTCGGTCGAGCAAGAGAACTAGATTGAGAGATAACTGTGTGTGTATGCGTGTGAGAGTGTGTGTGTGAGTGTGTGTTGAGTCAATCAGTTTCCGAAAAAGGGCGTCCTCCTCCTCCTCCTCGCTGATTTCTCTCATGTTTGTCTCCCCGGAGGAAGGGGCGGACTCAGCGCCACAGTAGATCCGGAATTAGTGGGTGTTCGCTCGGCTCTCCTCGGCTCGTTCGCTCGCTTGCTCGGTCGGTCGATCTGTGGGCTCAGCAGCGGGCGGTTCGGTTCTTGCGCAGAGAGGAAGCAGAGCTCAAAAAACAGTCCGAAAGAGAAAAGAAAGAAGAGGAGAAGAAGAGGAGAAGCCGGGAGGAGTGAAAGTCTCGACAGAGGCAGGGACGACAAGAACCTCCTGAGAAGAAAAGAGGAATAAAAAAGAAGAAGAAAAGTAGAGGCAGAAGAAGAGAAAGATGCCTCTGGCTCAGTTGGCGGATCCCTGGCAGAAGATGCCTCTGGGGGGGACTGCTGGAGAGGTGAGACATGATCCCAACACACCAGCAGACACTTTGATTTGTCCTCCTCACAAACTGACAAGTGACTTTCACTATGGCTGCAGCTCTTAGACAGGTATTACACACCTGAAAGTCACTGTGGGATCCTTACTGACAGCTGCAGTCACTTAGAATGACATTTGCGTGGACTTTCAAGTACCTGAACATTCATATTCACTAGAATAACAGAGACACAAGTCTGGATTTACTCCTAGATTCACCTGTAGGCTCCATAACCTTCAACATGTTTACCATAGCTGTGTGACAGTGCTGTGTTTTCTGCTTTAAATCACTGATATATTGCGTTAAAGTTATTATGTACACAAATAAAACAGAAAGTGAAGTAAGATTAATTATTCAAGTCCATTTGTTTCACTATTACTCCATGGTAGAGTTCCTGACCTACTATAAAGGATTAAGAATTATATATACCATGATTCTCCTTATTGTGCCCCTAAGACTTTAAGTACCTTTGATCATAAGCTACATATCTATAAATACAGAGACTGAATTAGGTTACAGAGTACTAGAATAATAATGCTTTTTGCGGGCGATTGAATGGAAATGATGCGGTGTGCAGTTAATTAGACAGTCAATTAACTTCTGAGTAAAAGCAGCAGCTAGAGATACAGTTACATTAATGAGGTCAAAATGACTGTGAACAGACACTGCAATATAACAATAAACTCATATCCTACATCATACACTTATTGCTTTAATTACTTTATAATGGGAATATTCTTTCTGTGTCATTTGTTGTTTGATAGGCTTGTGCAGCCCTTTTCTGAGTTGTTGGTCAAGTTAATTACTTCATACTTTTAAAGTGACCACTTTCATTTTGAGACAAATAATCCACCCAGGATCATTGAGTGTAATATAATATATGACATTATAGCAGATTATATTAAATCACATTCTAGCCCATCCATCCTCATCCTATCTAATAATATTGTAGCATGTGCCGTATGGTTTCGTTTTATGTTCTATCTTATTATATGGTTTTGTATTCACTGAATCCAAATGTAAAGTTGTGTGTCTCATTGGATCTTAATATATCGTATTGTTTTGTTTTAATCTTGTTGTGTCGTATCATTTTAAATTGGCGTTTTATGTGACTGTATTTCATCACAATGTTTTATTGTTTTGCTTAATATCATTTTACATCCATGTTGTGTTGCTTCGTGTTACAGCCACATCGTAATTTGCTGTATCGGACTGGTTGTACTTTACAGTGTAGTTAAAAACACCTTGTTGAACACAGAGGCCTGACAATAATCTCCACATGTTGAACCTGAAGTCCAATATTTTATCATAATCACAAGAAGGAGCTGGTCTGATCTGTTTCTCGTGCAAAGATTGCTCTGTTTAGACCGTTTTCTTGTTGCATGTGAACATATAAACACAGCGGACCTTTGCAGCCAGACAGCGGCTGACAGAGAATGTCATTTTCTGTATCTGCTGGAAAAATGAGATAAATCAGTCGTAGATTATTAAAAAGTTTTGGGTTTATTCTCTCTTGATTTACACTCATAGCAATGAGATAATGAAAAATCACTGAAATGCTTTCCAGTGTCAGCGCAGAACCACAGAGGCTAAGACAATAGGAAGTGTTGAAGACTAAAACAAAAACAGCTCCTGTTTGTTTCTGTTTTCTTCTTCTTTAGAGTTTTTGAATCTTGATAAGGAGGAGGCGGAGCTTCTTTAACGGCGTGATTCAGGAAGAGCTTATGCCTGTCTGTCTGTCTGTCTGTGTGTGTGTGTGTGTGTGTGTGTGTGTGTGTGTGTGTGTGTGTGTGTGTGTGTGTGTCCACTTCCGGTATGAGGTGTCACAAGGTCTGCATGGAGAAATAGCTGAGTATGTGTGTGTGTGTCTGTGGGCAGATTATGAATAATCAAACCTGATTCAGGCTGAAAAATGCTCTGACTCACAGCCAGCTTCTCTGTCTCTAACAGGCTGATACCTGCTCGCCGTTTTCCCCACACGACCTCCCCTCACCTCGCTATCAACCGCTAACTTCTCACCTCAATGAAACTGACCTTTGACCCTTGTGTCACTCCTTTTAAAGCCTCTCGGCGCGCAGGATTGTGTCTGATATCTGAACATAAGCTGTCATACCAGCTTTTTTTCCCAGGCCGCCACATGACAAAGTAAAAAGAAAAAAAAAACACTCACAGTCGCGCACAAAGGAGCGAGTTTGAAGTTCAGGAATGAGGACGAGATGCTTCTGTGAGGTTTTTAGCCCGAGGGGAGGATCATTCAGCGCGCGCACAAAGAGCAGAGAGGGGCTGCACTTTTAGAAACATGGAAGTATGGAGATAGAGACGACTAAAAGCTTTAATGCAGTCATAAAAAGTGCATTAAAAAGCTGGAGAGAGATGTGACAACACACCCTCAAGGCGCAAAAGTATAATCTTTTTAATCTAATAGTTAAATCAGAGTCAAGTTAACGTATATAAAGAGAAATAAAGTCGTAAGAGCTTCTAAAAACGAATAAAGTTGTAGTGTAATCAGAAAAAAACAGGGATGCACGAGTGTATCAGCAAATATCGGGCTGCTGACTGCAAATAACATGCAAATAACAATAACACGGTTTGTTTGTATCCTGCAGCATCATTACAGCAGTACATAATCCGGAGAGTATTTACACTTCAATGCAGAGGGAGTCGAGGAAGTCTCCTTTTTAATGATCGAATCTGAAAGAAAGAGTGCGCAGTGTGGGAGTGTGACGGTCTCTGAGAAAGATCAGATACAGACAGTCTGTGAGACATGATCCAGGGTCATTATTAGAGGAGGGACTGGTAACTATTTAAAAACATCAAACCTCTCAGCTCATTAAGAATCAGATAAAAATGATGAAGAAGTCATCAAGTATTATCAATCCAAGAATATCGATATCTGAGGTCCAACTTCCAACTGCGCATGTGGAGGTCCACCTGAAAAGTCTTTATTCCTTCTTCAAGTTTTCACGTTTACTTACAGAAAAGGAGAATGTAAAATATTGAAGTTTTATCAGCTTAAATCACAATTTTCTACGTTTTTTTCACTTCAAACCAAATCAGTCAAACATCAGGATGATGAAGGAGTATCAGCGTCTCCTCCCATGACCCAGCTGCTCTCTGTGTTTGTTTAAGTTCCTGTTTTCCTGCTCTGCAGATTATTGATATTGCTATGTAGAGATCTGATTACACTGCAGGCAGAGTCAAGATGGCTGTGGTGCTCATTAATATCTGCTGTTTGATCAGATGTCATTATTTATCCAAATGTAGACAGCGTATGTTATAAAAAGGTTCGAGCACAAAGGGAGAGTAAAGGTACAGGTGTGTGCAGGTGTTTTATGAGTTTACACAGAGTCAGTTATTGTAATTTAGCTGCTTATCTGGACATGGAGCGGCTGGAGCTGCAGCACACAGCTCAAGTACCATTAAACCATGTCTTTAACCTCATTATCATCCATACTTGAACACTGTAGAGTAGGGCTGGGCGATATGGGAAAAAGTTTATCACGATATATTTTTTTCATATCAGTCGATATCAATATAAATCATGATATAAAAAGGGAAATTTAACAGTGTTTATTGGTAGCATGTCTTTTGTGGTACAATAAGCTACTGCATCTGTGAGGTCTTTGTGTCTCTTCGACATTTTGTCGTAAGGCGTTGCGCTAGAGAAAGCAGACTGAATGGTTAGGTATTTCGGCTGCACAGGCGCCATGGGCTCCTTGCTCTGCTCGGGGTTTGTAACCTTCTGCATTGTGCGTGCTCTGCCATGTGGCACTGCTTCAGGGCGTGAAAAGGTTTGAGGTGTACGCCATCTTTGTGAGAACATGTACTCGACATAATTTCCAGTGCACATTACTCTGACCGACCACAAAAAAGCAAAATACCTCCACACCACCAACGTTTTCGTTCCAGTGTTGTCAACAATCTCATCATCTGTCGATCCTTCATTTTCTTTTTTTCTCACCGACAGTGTTTCATGTTGATATTCAAGGAAATTAATTTTTGATATATGTCGTTATCGTTTTATCGTCCAGCCCTACTGTAGAGTCATAAACATGCTTTCAGAGTCACTGACAGAGAGGATGAGTTTGCTGTCACCAGCTGTTCAAAAGTCTGAACAGGATTTATTTAAAGCAGACAAACAAATTCACCTTCAAAACTTTGATCAGATCCAGAGAAACCGAGTTCAGTGAATACCTGTCAGAGCTGAAATCAGGTACCCAGGTAAGAGAGAGGTGAGAGTATCATCAGAGACAGACTGTACCTGTCTTCACCCATTGATCCGCCCGTCTGCAGCCCTGTCCTCTCTGTAACCTTCGCTCTCTCTCCTCCTCCTCTTAATCCATCACTCTTCCTCTGTTCTCTCTCTCCTCCTCCTCCTCCTCCTCCTCCTCTTCTCTCTTTAGAGTGCAGTTTTCAGACTTCTCCTCTCAGTGCTGCACTTAGCAGCAAAGTAAATACTCGGCTTTTATTGTTATTGTTGTTTAGCTCAGCGGTGGTGTGAGTGCTATCAGTGTCTGAATCACAGCTGTTGTTGCAGCAGCAGGGGAGCAGACAGGCTGATAATCTCTCTTACGTAATGCTAATTCACTCATACGTGTTGTTTTTATTTTTCCTATCGGTCGAGCAGATGAGGTGGAGGATGTCCGAGTTCGGTGGCCCCACTGATTAATCTCACAGTGGGCCCGTCTGCAGACTTTAATGTATTTATTTATCTGTGGTTTGAGCTCAGTTTGAGTCCTCTGTCACTCGGAGCAGCAGGGACATGATGGGAGTTATTTTTTTTTAATGAAAGACACCCACTCGATGTGCGGAGCGGTTCACCTCTGAAAGCTCGGTGGCACAGATTGAAAACATGAACGTGGGCAGCGGAGGCCTTGATATGACTAAAGAACGAAGCTTTTTACAGACCTTTTAATAATGCAGATGTACAGTACACAGAAGCTGATTGATTTGCATCCTTTGAATAGAAATGCAAAATACACACCGTCTTCTTTAAGGTTGAGCAGGTCCAGGCTTTGCATGGCTGGAACCTGATGATACCTGATGCCATTTATACGTTTCTCAGTCACCGTGAAGAAAGATTTGCAAAGATAGATTAATTCAAATTTCACAGTATTTTTCACCGCTGCTCCAACCGTTTAAAGGAATATTCCTGCGTAAAATTAATTTAGAGCCAAACACCGTAACACCGAGTTAGACACCCCTTCGAGAGATGAATGTTGCCGACCGCTTGCTTCTCTAGTAAAACCAGCTTTATTAACGACCGCACGATAGCAATACACAGCAGTCTGAGGAGTCATAAACAAACCTCAACCAAAACGCCACTCTATAGCCACAAATAATGCTCAGAACAGCACCTAACTTCATCAACAGGACATATAGGGTCATAGCCATAGTACTAGCCACCAAACATCTTTTTAACTTTGACTCATTTCTTTTGCAAAGAGACTAAACACAACTCACCCACTCTCCTCCAGCAGCCGCTTGTTTGTTGTGAGATCTCGATCAGTCCATTACAGACTGCTGCGGGGTGCCGCAGCTCAAGGAAGAACATTTATGATCATTTCTTTATGGAAATGTAATCAGACCGAGATGCTAAGGCAGAAGAACTACCGCGTCTGCAGTGCAAAATGATTAATATGGTGATTATTACTTCAAGGAAATGATAAAGAAATGATCATAAATGTTCTTCCTTGAGCTGCGGCACCCCGCAGCAGTCTTTAATGGACTGGCCTGAGGTCTCTGTACAAACAAGTGGCTGCTGGAACAGAGTAGGTGAGTTGTGTTTAGTGTCTTTGCTAAAGAAATGAGTCAAAGTTAAAAAGATGTTTGGTGTCTAGTGCTATGTCTGGGACCCTATATGTCCTGTTGATGAAGTTAGGTGCTGTTCTGAGCATTATTTGTGGCTATAGAGTGGCGTTTTGGTTGAGGTTTGTTTATGGCTCCTCAGACCGCTGTGTATTGCTATCTGCGGTCGTTACTAAAGTTGGTATAACTAGAGAAGCAAGCGGTCGGCAACATTCATTTCTGGAGGGGGTGTCTAACTCGGTGTTACTGTGTGTTTGACCCTGAATTAATTTTACACTGGAATATCCCTCAAGATAAAACAGACAAACAGGTCCAAACCCCACTCATTATGTGTCTTTGTGCTTAAAGATTTAACGTTTAACTGCAGTGATTAGTCAATTTATTAATAGATTGGTTAAAAGAAGGTTAATTGAAACTATTTTAATAGCAAGATAATGATTTTAGTGCTTAATCAAGCAGAAATGTCAAACACGCTCTGGCTCCAGCTTCTAAAATATGAAGATTTGCTGCTTTTCTTTGTCATTTATTCTCATTGAATAAAGATTGTTATGTGACATTTCGTGCCGACTTCAAATTTGCATTTAGACGAATTTGCATCTTTACCAGCCAAAACAACAGATTAGATTTTAATGTGACATACACAATTGAAACACTATTATTGTTTCATGCACACCTGTGCAGCTCCAACATGCAGACAGAAGAGAGGTAGGAGAGAGAAGACACAGAATTATACTACATGGGTACTTTGGTGCAAACTTTTACTAGTCATGTGATGCATAACTCAACAAGACCTGATGTAAAGATGGGTGAGTCAAACACGAGTCAAACACTTTACAGCATTTATCAAGTTACTGTGGAGAGGGAGAACTTCCTTGAACAGGCAGAAACCTTGAGCAGAACCAGACTGATGTTAGACCATCATCTGCTGAGTCTGAGCTGAGTTTAGAGGGAGGAGAGAGGGAGATGCAGAAAGAGAGAGACGGATGGTTACAGAGCAAATCTAATCTCTGTTGTGATTTATAGAATAACAGAGGTTAATATTGCCTTTGGCGTAAATATATCATGTTCTGAAGTCTGTAGCATCGCCCAATGTAATGTTATTATTTCATGACTATTCCAGGATCCATCTCAAACATGTTTCCGGCTAAGTGGACCATGTATTGAGCGTGTGTTATTATTACATTGTGATGTTATATTAGAGACGGAGGACTTTTTAGGAACCACAGGATACTGTATCACCACTCTAAGCTGAATTTAGAGGTTCATATTGAGACTGAGAACTTCTTACACAGTCAGTTTTATCCTTTTATTTTAAGCTCCTGCTGATTGTAGTTTAAGGGAGACTCATTTTAGAGTCGAATCTCATGTCTTGAACTGTTTCTTGCTTGTAATCGATCATAAATCTGCGCTCCCGCTCTGTCAAACATTATCTGCAGTGTTGGTTTTTTCAGCCGTTGTTCAGGTGAACGTGTCTGAACCTGCGGCGATGACGTTGATCCGTCCTGTCAGGAGCAGCAGTAATTACCACGTCACTGCTGCATGTCAGGTGTGTGTTAAAGTGTGACGTCTCCTCTCTGTGTGATTACAGGATACACACCATGACCCTGAAGACTCCGTGGGCGATGACGACTCCATGCCTGCCTGCACCGTAAGTCTGGATCCAGTTTTTCTGCTTTTTTCAGGAGGCTGCGGGTTTTTGTCGATGTTCCCTGACAGTCTGAGGGGCTCACTGTAAATATAACCAGCGCTCTGTTTGGACTGACACTCTACGATGGCAGCTGACGGTGAATGTGTATGTGTATGTGTGTGTGTGTGTCATCCTCTCTTTTTACACTCCTCCAAACTCGTGTGTTTTTCTTCTTGCCGTGTGTTTCAGTTACAAAGCTCACAGTTTCTGTCTGATGATGTTTCCTCTGTTTGATAAAACTGACGCCTACTCCTGCAAGATAATTGCGGGTTTGAAAGTGAAGCGCAGTGTGGCTCACTATTAAAATTATGACTCATTTTAAAGCTGAAGAAAAAAAAAGAAAAAAACCTCCCTCAGATCCTCTGCTCGCCTGGATATCATCATTTATTTGTCAGGTTCTGATCATCCCAGGAGTTATTTCTGGATCAGATGTGGTAATTGACTCTGAAGGTAAACCCTCCTTCCCTTCAGTCTGATTCATCCTCTTCCTGTGCCCCAGTTTCAAACCGTGCACAAACTTTATTTTGATGTTGTAACAGCTCTGCAAAGTGTGCACAGTCAGGAGTGACTGTAACACAGAGCTCTGCAGCTTATGCAAGGAGGGGAAAGGACGGATCATTTAGACACAGCTCAGAGTGCTTCACAGAGTCAGAAATGGAGTCTTAACACAAACACAACCAGGGCCACTGAGTCTTACTGAAAAACTTAGTCTGGTTTGGTTTCCTGGTTTACAGTTTGATGAATCTTTGGCTCAGTTCTGGCCTGACAAAATATCTGGCATAAAAATTTAACATCATTTGTTTAAGATGATAAGAATTTTATATTTTTCAGGGTTTTCTCTCCATTTGATCGCAATAAAATGATTCGAATGCTTTAATAAAAAAACAGTTAAATGAAAATGAAAGTAGTGCGAAGACAGCATGAACGAAGCGATCTTATTTGTTTATGAATAATTCACACCCGTTTATTTATTTGAGCCCAGCAACACATTCCTTAAACGTTGGAGATGAGTCAAGTTTATCGTCGTGTCACATCTTTTAGCAACATTCAGTAAACATCAGGAAACCAAGGAGACCAGTTTCTGGATCTGGTTTCCTCTCTGCGTGGTTCAGTTTCAACCTGCGTTTTTGGTTGCAGCAGCAAATTGTGTTCACAGACGTTCTCAGGAACTGATTTGGAGCCCATGTGGTGATTTCCACTCGAGAGTCCTGTCTGTTTTTAACCCGGTTAGGTCCTACATTTCCCAGGATGCCTTTAGACAGCAGCAGGGATGAAGAAAGTTGTTTCTCTCAGTCAGAGGAGGAAGTTTGAAGATGAGTCACCCACACTGATCTGTATTTGTGCGTCTTTTGTTCAGAAATCATCCTCGCTGACGATGTGATCTCTCTGTGTCTGACTCTGACCGGTTCAGAGCCACTCCAAATGAAACCCTGACCCCGGGTTTATTCTGATGAAACATGAGGCTGTCTTTCCACCAGATAATCTGAGAGCTGACTCTTCCCACGTGCTCGAGGAAGCAGCAGCATCAGCAGCAGTTTAATGTGATCCTCTCTGTGCTGCAGGAGCTTCATCTGCACTGCAGCTGAATAGACAGAAAGATGAACTGAGGGCTGAAATGTTGAATGTTTGGGTCTGAACAGAAACACTGGCATCAAACTGACACACAGAATTAGGCTGTAACCACACTCACACCTTCCCTCCTTTCAGTAACATGTGGAGGAATAATCTGGTTTCTAAACGGAAATACTCAGAGCCCGAAAAGTTTTCTCTGACAGCATCCTCAGGAAATCCCTCAGGCCACTTTCTCTTCACTTACAGATCTCAGCAAGATCACCTCTAACCTCAGATGTTTCACACACCTGGAGACGGCCTGTCGTTGTTGTTGTTTTAAGCTCACAGAGTCACCCAGGTGCTTTTATTTTGAAGGTCTAACAGCCAGTGTCGGACAACCTGCAGAAAAAGACTCCTAAATGAGGCTCCTGATCCGACTTCAGCCTCACTCAGAGGGTTCCTGGATGGAAACTGTGCGTGTGTGTGTGTCTTTGTGTGTGTGTGTGTGAGAGAAATACTGTGTGTGTGTGTGTGTGTGTGTGTCGGCGGCAGGCAGAGCAGCTGCAAGCATCGATTTTTAAATGCAGAGGAGATGGTTTATAGATCTGCTGTCTGAGAAGAGCTGAGCACTCATTACCTCACTCTCCAGAGTCTGCAGCATGCATGCACACACACACACACACACACACACACACACACACACACACACACACACACACGCAAGCCTGAGGCAGGAAGCTGGAGGTGAAAACAGTAAGAACATCACATCCTTGTGCGTCTGCGTGTGTGTGAGGATGAATATATTATCGAGCTGTTAATGAGTGAGTCTGACTTTTCCACGGGCTCAACTAAGTGTGTGTGTGTGTGTGTGTGTGTGTGTGTGTGTGTGTGTGTGTGTGTGTGTCTCAGGTTAATTTGAGGTAATGAGGCGGCTCTTTCTTTCTGTGTCACTCTGCTTGTGGTCTTGAGTGTTTAAGTCACTGGAGTCTTTCTATATTTGGGAGAACCCACATATAGATCACACTCTCACTTACTGGACTTTTGCACTAATATTACAGACAACCTTTTTTCAGAGGTGAATAAGACATCTAACAACTTTTTTCATGTAAATAATTAATTTAAGCTGCTGAAGTGTTAGTATTTAATGCTTTTGTTTGCGATGCATGGTATAAAAGTGACTTTTTTTTTTCATCTGAGAACTTTACCTTCTATTATTGGCAGTGAAAACACGCATTTATCTGTTTTGGAGATTTCACATTGAGGGTAATGTATAGTGAGCAGGTGGTTATGTGAGTTATGTGCTTCCTAGCTGCCAGTATTATCAGGATCTAAAGTTTTTGCCACAGTGTCAACAGGCTGAAGGTAGTCCAACAAAAGTGACTCAGAGAGCAAGTTATGGACAGAATAATTAAGAATAAAAATAGCTACTTGTCTCAGTTTTTGCTAATACTCTAAAAATCCTCAGATTCCCTCAGAAAGTTTCAAACTTACTTTTCAGATCCAAGGTCTCGTTGGGCCTCACAAAGATGGAATAACAACAGAAAACACACATGTACCTGCAGCATACCTGCCCTCATATAATCTGCTCATTATTCAATACTACACACACACACACACACACTCACACACTCACACTCTCAAACAAATGAAGGGCGATACCTGACAGCACTATTTGAGTACGAAGCTCATAACAGACGACACAAGTTGAGTTCAAGAAAGCAAATACTTCACACACTGACTGTGCTGCTCAGTGTGAGTCAGGAGCACACACACACACACACACACAGACACACTCACCATTGCCCCCAGCGAGTCCTAAAATGTTTTCCAGACAGCGTTATAAACATCTCTGCTCTCTGAGGGAACAACCAACATCTGCTGCCATCTGCTGCCGCTCATTGTGTGTGTGTGTGTGTGCAGGACAGACAGTATCATGTTCGGAGTCAGGATGAGGTCATTCATTCACTGTCGGACACTCGCTGACCTCTGACTCTGACGTAGACTCAATAACAGCAGATTTCAGGTTTTTTTCTCTGAGTCGTTCTGATTGTTTTTTGATCTCTCCATGTTTTAGAAAAAAAAGTCCATGTCAGCGGCTTTTAATGCCTTTTTATTGTTTTTTAAACAGCAGAGGCTGTGTATTTTAAGAGCCGAGACGAGTCAGTGTTTCCCATCCGCTGACCCAGTTACTACAGAGAACCTTTAATTGATTGATTGACTAATCATATTAGCCGTTAACACGTTTAGAGAGCAGTGGGCACGCTAAAAACCCAACGTCACTGACAGACCAGGAACAAGCTGATTCTTTGTCATGCTTTTATTTTGATAGTTTTTATGTTTGGGTGTTTTTTTTTCTCCTGCTTAGTAAAACTGTGATTTTATTTTGAAGGGAATCAGAACTTAAAACAATCAAAAGAATTGTAAAGAAATATAAATGTTCAATTGATAAGTAGACTCTCATGTTGTTTCTGGATTGAAAATAAACTTTTAATGTCACATTTTAAAGCATTTAATCATTGTTTAAATATCTGCTGCAGTTAGTTTGCTAGCAGCTGCTTCTTCTTCTCCATCTCACTGTTTTATTGTTGTTGGCAGTCGTCATATTTTGCAGTTGCGAAGTACTTTAGCCTCTAGTGAAATTGCCTCATTTTGTTGGCTTGTAAAGTTAGTACTGTATGATCCCTGCATGATCAAATTAATGGCGATATGTGAACTCGCTGTAGTTCAACATTTTTGTTTTTTGATGTTTCCTCCTCAGCCTCTTAAAAACCCTCTTCACTCTTCCTGAAAGCTTTACTCCATTACGCCCATTGGCACTGCAGACGTGGTAGTTCTTCTGTCTTAGCGTCTCGGTCTGGTTGCATTTCCATGAAGAAATGATCATAAATGTTCTTCCTTGAGCTGTGAAACTCTGCAGCAGTCCGTAATAGACTGGTCGAGGTCTCGCTTCGAATAAACGGCTGCTGGAAGAGAGCAGGCAAAGTTAAAAGGTGTTTAAACTAGTGCTGTGGCTGGGACCCTTTATGTCCTGTTGATGAAGTTAGGTGCTGTTCTGAGCATTATTTGTGGCTAGAGAGCGGCAGTTTGGTTGAGGTTTGTTTATGACTCCTCAGACCGCTGTCCTATCTATCCTGCGGTCGTTACTAAAGTTGGTATAACTAGGGAAGCAAGCAGTCGGCAACATTCATCTCTTGACGGGGTGTCTTACTCGGTGTGTTTGATCCTAAATTAATTTTATGCCAGAATATCCCTTTAAGCCTTCGTGAATGCAGCCACTGGACTCATTCCTGTCCCTGGTCTGTGTGCAGAGTCTGTTCGAGCTCCACTGAGTCATGTTTTTCACTTTCATCAAATGTGACAGCAGGACAAGCTGAACATCTGGACGGAAAGCTGCTCGATTTTTCTGCTCAACCTGAAAAGTCCTGCATCAACAAAAGTTACAAAGAAAAGACGAAACATCTTTGAATCAGACCGGTTTTCTAAATTCACCTTTCTCTGGGTTCACACAGTCTTTGGTTGGCAGAGTTCATGGAGCTCAAACTGTGAATGAGTCACACTGACTGCTTTAATATTCGGCTGCCTTCGGGTTCCTGTCACAGCCGTAAAATTACACTTACAATGGTCCCAGTTTAATTCGTCTAAGGTTGCTTAAGAAGAATGTTGTTTTTCAGGACTTTTCAGGAGACTTCCAACTAAGTACTGTCTCATCTGGCGGCTAATAGTACCTGATTTACTGTTAGGAGTTAACCCTGAAGCTGCTGTGATGTTACGTAAGAGCTCAGGGGCGAAAAAGGTCAAAAATGACATTATTTTAAATGTATTTAAGTCCTGAATCTGAGGGGGTTTTTCACTTGCTGTTACTTCTGAATCACGTTTATTTCTGGTTTCCTCTTCGCTCCATTTATGGATGAAGTGACATTTTGTATTCACTCACAGTGGCTTTGACAGTGACTTTTAGCCGATGCGGGGACTTCCACTCTAGAGTCATGTCTGTTTTTGCTGCAGTGCTTTGCTGAGGGCCAAAATATCATCGCTACCCAGTATTAAAGATGTAGAGTAAGAACTGTAGGTGATGAAATCTTCTTTCTTCACATTTTGGGGAAAACTATTCTGAAACAGTTGAACTTGCAGCTCTTGCAGTCTCTCACAGAGTGTTTCTTGAGCTTATTTAGATTTTAAAAATGTGTTTCTGGCTTTAAATTTAAGACTGGCATTCATTTCTCAGAGTGTGTTCATATTTTTCTTTCAGTTTCAATTTTTATTCCATTATTTTCACTCTATTTTGGATTAGAAATCGGATTTTACTAACGAACAAAAACATCAAAATCTGTTCATCTGTTAATTTTATGCTAATGCAATGTAAGTCAGCGGTAAATACACACACACATTCACACACAGGCTGCTGCTGCAAACACACAAACGCACATTCATGCAGTCTGGACCCTCGTTTCTCTCCTCGGCCTGTTTTCTTCTGACAGATTATTAAAGAGCGCTTCAATTATTCATCCCTCCTCCAGAATAAAAAGGCCGTTATCATAAATGTGAAAATGTAATGAACTTTCTCACACGAGGAGTCATTTTTCAGATTCTATAAATCACCCCGTGACCTCCCGGATGTGTGTTTGTGTGCTTGTGTGTGTGTGTGTGTTTGTGGATAAATGTGTGTGTGTGTGTGCGTGTGCGTTGCTTTCTCTGGCAGATGGTGTTTAATCTTCTTCGGCCATCTGGACCGACTTTCTCCAGCGTCTTTTAAACGCCCACACACACAAACACATGGCACACTACTCTCTTAATCAACATGCTCAGGTGTGTGTGTGTGTCTGTGTGTGTTTGTGTGTGACGGATAAAGCAGACGAGACATTCCGTGGAAAAAGTCATCCACTTACGTTGTGACGGGTCACAAACTCTTAGCTTGGATCAGAAAGTAGTAGACTCTGTTAGTGTGGGTGTTTTTGTTTATGTGTGTGTCAGTGTGTGTGTTAGTGTCAGTGTGTGTGTGTGTGTTAAAGTGAAGGACACAAAAACAAAAGGAGTCAGTTCGGTGGTTTTGTTTGCTCTGCTCTCTAAAAGGAGTTATTTCGGTGTTTGGGTTCGGCTCACAGTGGCTATTCATCTGTGTTTGTGGTCATCCTTTTGTGTGTGTGTGTGTGTGTGAGAGGGAGGGAGGAAGTGTGTGTGTGTGTGTGTGTGTGTGTGTGTGTGTGTGTGTGTGTGTGTGTGTGTGTGTGTGTGTGTGTGTGTGTGTGTGTGTGTGTGTGTGTGTGCTCTCAAGCCTGAACACCTAAAATGGAAACTGGGCCCCACCCACGCCGGCTAGAGTGGTTATTGATGGGAGCAGAGAGGGGAAGGGAGAGAGAGGAAATATTGATTGATAGGAAGTGGCACAGAGCGAGGGAGGGAAAGTGTGTGTTTGTGTGTTTGTGTGTTTGTGTGTGTTGTAGCGAGAAGACAAAGATAATAAGTGAGCAGAGGAGAGAAAAAGTTGTGCGTCTTTTCAGAGTTTCTGTCAATTTCCTCTCTTGTACTGGGCAGGGTCACAGTATGTGTGTGTGTGTGTTTATATATGTGTGTGTGTGTGGACCTCAGCGCCTCCTGTGAATGAGGCATTGTGGGTATAGCCATTGTGAGGTCATGGGCTGATGATGTAATCTGTGTAACCCGGCGCCGCTTTTCCTGAACGCAGCTCTCTTTAGGAACAAACCAATCACCGCGCAACAACAACAACAACAACACACACACACATTTTAACATAACTATACTTGTGGGAACTCTGATATATGGCCTGCTCTTGTTCAGTGACCTCTGACCCCATGTCCTCAATGAAACTTAACCAGTTTAAACACTTACAGCTTCACTCTTTGGTCTTTAAAATTTTAAATTGTTTAATGATGTTGAATTTGACTTAAAATTGTTCAAAGTGTGTGTGTTTGTGTGTATGTGTGTGATCTATGAACTTCAGTTCTGATTGATTTTTCAGAGCTAATATTGATAATTAATATTTTATAGGATGGACTCTGCAAGTGTTTAACAGCCTGTACAGAAGTTTCTGCACAAAAGTGTATATCTGAACAAAAGGGGAGCTAATAGGGAGCCCTGTGGCACACCTTTACCCCCAATTTGCACCGTATATGGAACATCTACGAAAAGGCCGTCTCCGCTATTCACAGCAGATCATAACCACTGAAGTTAATGTGTCAATTTCCGCCAGCTTCTTTCCGTTCTGTTGCGGTTTGCAGGGCTCCACAGCCAATCGCAAGACACCGGAGCATGATGGATAAATTCAGCACAGATTAACCCGTGCTGGAAAGAAGTCGGACACAGACACAAAATAAAACATCCGGCTTCTTTCAAAGTCAAACACCGTGTTTCAGGCGGATCATATTTCACACCATGCAAACAGGCGGGGACGAACAAGTGGAAGGTTGATGACACAATGGATGAGGAGATGCTGATTTTATAAGTCTAGAAGTAGATTTCCTCCTCTGGAAGGACACAATCTACTGATTTTATGATTATGTGGCTGTCTTTATAGAATCAACTTGTTATTGCGCGATTGCACATGAATCTGCGGGTTCTTGTGAGTTCTTGCGATTACCGCTGTTCGTAATCCACCACGAGATTCGCCTCACCAACGGATTCGGTAGGAATTGGTGGAAAGGGAAAATCGCTGCCGTTCTGGGTCAGAGCCGTTCCAGATGCGGTGAAAATTAGGGGTTACAATGTCAGAGTAAAGCCCATCATGCCTATTGCACAGACACTCACCAGGATAATTTAAAAACCAATAAGAAGTATCTCTTTATTAGGGCTGGAATCTCAGGGTATCTCACGATACAATATGATACGCGATACACGGCTCACAATAACGATAATGTCTTGATATAGCGATACTGTGATTATCGATACATTGCTCCTGGTAACCTATGGTATATCTGTGTATTTATACGGGTGAAAGAAAAACAAACAATAAAATAATAAAAAAATAACAAATAAAAGTGCAACCAGTAACCGTGCAAAAACCATGACACTCTTTCAGTGCAACATAACTATAAACAGTATTTTTTTGGGTGTCTAACAAAGAATGGTATTATTTTAAACTCAATCAGAAAACATGCGCTGGAATAGTTATTTCAGTGAAATGTTTACGACCGGGTATTTCATACCTCGGCGTATGGATAATCCATCATTATGTTCAATATCTTGATAGCTATATCGATATTTTGTCACACTCCTGATTTTTATCCTCGGAGGGAATAAACCAAAAGTTTCAAACAGCATTGTGCTCAAAATACTGATCCAATAAATCCACTTTGTAAATATGACACATGTAAGTATGATTCGCATGTCTTCCCAGCAACACTTTTCCAAAATTTGATTATGTTGATGACCTCGTATTTTCAGCCTTAAAGGGAGAAACAGAGATTTCTTTCGAGAGGTGCTAACGAGCTTTATTTTGCTTTACTCTGGGATCAGCATCCTGTTTTTGCTCGAGTGGAAATGCAGCAAAAAGAGAGATGAAGCCCATTCAGTGGACTCAGAAATTAGATATTTTTGCTGTGGAGGGGGCAGGAAGACATCTACATCTGATTAAGTTCAGAGAGGGAGTGAGGAACACGCCGGAAAAAGCCCCTCAAACTCTAAATAAACTCTTTCTGTGCCTAATTTAAACCGAGGAGAACACACACACTCTCAGGCGTTTGACTGTGTGTGTGGAGGGAATTTCCTTTGGTGAAGAGGAAGAGGAGGAGGAGGAGGAGGAGGAGGGCCTGATGGGGAGTTCCCCTCTCTGTCAGTGAGAGGAAGATGCAGTAAAGAGAGGACAAACATGCAGCGAAGGAAAGAAAGAGAGTGTAAGAGCCTCTCCCCCCTCGCCGCAGTCTACCTGACCCAGGGCAGGAATTTGGCGTGGAGACTCGAAACTCATCTCTCCTTTCATTTCCATCCCTCCTCTTCGTCATCCTCCTCTTCTCTGACTCCTGAGGAATTTCATGTTGAAAGATTCCTGATCTTCTTTCTCAGTACTCGCTGTTGCGTTATTATCTTTAATCATGTTTTCCTGACCTCTTTAGTTTGATCACAGAAGCTCTGCATTCCTGAAAATCACTGAAAATCAATGTACAGACTGTGCAATGAGAGCGAACATAATTAATGTCACATAATGAGCCATTTTTGGGGCCCAGGAGTTTGTTTTTGTTCCTGCGGTTCTGAAACAGGTATCGATACCATCTCATTTAAAATGGCATCATATCAAAGTCCCGAGGCTCTGTCCTGAAAGCTCCTCCTCTTCCTCACCTAAACGCGGCGTAGTATTTGGAGTTGTGTGAGTGTGTGGAACAGATGGTGGATGTTTGAGACTCGGTTCCTGGAAATATCAGGACCTGAATGTCCTGAAATGGTCCTGAAAATGTCAGGAGTTCATGTGTGAGAGGAAGGGCTTCAGTTTCATCCTGAACTTTAATTTGATTCCTCTGACTCTCCTTTGTTTTACCTTTTTCTCCTCCTGTTTTCATATTTCCTTTTCTCCCTGATGCCCTTTTTCTTTTCCAGTCATTTTATCCTTTCCTTAACTCACTCTTTTGTTTCCTTTCTGTCTTTCCTTCCCCCTCTTGACCTTCTTTTCTTCCTCTAAGTCCTTTTCTGTCACATTTTCCTGCCATTTCTCCCTTCCTCCACTTCTCCTCTCTTCTCCATTTCTCTTTCCTTTCAGATCCTCTTCTCTCACCTCCCTCTCTCCTCCTCCCTCACTCCTTTTCTGTCCTGCCCTTCTTTCGAGGATTTGCAGACATGTTTGCTTCTTTTGTTTTTTTGTCTTTTTTTATTAAAACCACTTCCTCTTCCTTTAAATGAACAAAGATTGTATTGTTGATAATGCAGACGATGCATTTACTGACCTGTGGGAAATCAGAACGCTCTACCTCAGACTTCATATTTGTGAGAAATCATTTTATTTTTCATGTTTCAACAAAAACAAGACGAAAAAAAGTTGAGATTTAAAGTTCAACATGAGTGTGTGTGTGTGTGTGTGTGTGTGTGTGTGTGTGTGTGGCTGACGGGAGGCCTCCAAGGACAGATGTGTGCCTTCCTGTGCAGATGTTGTTGCCAGGGAAACAATGACAGGACATGGTTTAATCGCCGCGATGAACAGCTGGAGGGCCTTCCTGCATGTGTGTGTGTGTGTGTGTGCGTGCGTGTGTGTGTGCGTGCGTGTGCGTGTGCACATTTCCCCCCCGGGCTCTGTGCGCAGTGACAAGTTCCTCAGTTAATCACTCTGAGCTGAGCTGTGACAGCAGAGGAGCGATGATGAAGACACTTTTATTTCACGTTATGAGCAGGACTTTTCAGGTAGTATCTGCACACACACACACACAGACACACATACGCACACACAGACACACACACACACCATGCAGAGACACCGACTGTTATTACAGATTGTCTTTCCTCGGCTGTCTGTGTGTGTTTCGTTTGTTGTGATTCACACTGACTCTTGTTGGCATGCCTCTGCTCTCGGTCTGTTCATATTATTCTTACTGTGAGTGTGCATGTTCGTGTGTGTTTTTGTGTGTGTGTGTGCATGGATATTTGAGTGAGTGTTTTGGACTAGCCGGATGTTTCGAGCGGACATGTAACTTTAGATTAAAATTCTCTTGTTTTAACCTTTTAAACTCTCGCCTTCTGCTGTTTTCGCCCACATTTGACTCGACTCTGACTCGCTGTTTCGGTCTTTTTAGTATTAATGTGAATATTTGGCTAAAACATGTAGAGACAGAGCTCAATGTGCCAGTAATATCTACATAATATATCAATAAACAGGGTAGTTGTGCTTTGATGAAAAGGAAAAGGAAAACCCATCTCGCTCGCTGCGCCCTCATATTAATATTCATCATAAGTCACATGTTTTTTTGGACTCTAAAAAAAGGACAAACTATCAGGAAGTTACAGGTAAAGAGAGGAGAGCAGGGGGAGGCAGGTTGACCATGTGACCTCATGCACACAGGGATTAAATCATCAGGTTTTTCTGTGTGCATGTGAACGTTGTATCCAGATTATGATCCAAACCGGCCTCCAGCTCCTAACATGTTCACTCAAGTCCACGTGAACACAGAGGCAGATTTGAAAAAAGTGTCCCACCCCCCACACACAAACCTCTCCCCTCTGTGCTCCACGATAACTCCCCCCTGAACCTGTATCGCCCACGACACACCTCCTCTGGCCGAGCAAGAAGCCGGTTGGCAGAAGATCCTACGCTAGCTTCAAATAGGATTCATCATGATGTCGGATTGTTAGTGACTAGCGGCAGTAAACGCCAGCTCTGCTAGCGAGCGCCGTCTGCAGCTGCCTGGACAGCTACCATGTTGACATTGCAGAGACTAATAAGAGTTATTTATGTAACATGTGCCACGGTAAAAGGCGATAGAAATTACCTGTTCAACAAAAACTCTGCTGTCTTAGTGTCTGTTTTCAGGAGCTTTCTCCACCGCTCCAAGGATGACCCGAAGTTTATTCGAGTTTGATTCCTGTTTTGGTCACATTTCCTCTTCGTCTCTGCCCTTTCTTCCTCCGGCTTGCGTTTTCTTAACACTTTTGGCGGTGGGGCGAGCAGAAGTGTTTTTCTTTTTCCGTCCTTCACCATTACAGCTCCTGTAGCTAAGCTGCTACGCTACTTTTAGCCTCTCAGAGCTCAGAGGAGAGCCGGGAGAATGGGAGGAGACCAGTCAGAACAATGGGAGGCGAATTTTTTTTTTTTGTACAATGGTAGGGGAAGGTCCCGCCCTCCTTCCCCTCTGATTTGCTGGAAGTGCTGGGCTCCGATTGGTTATACCTAATGGCTGTGAAACATCATCGTCTGTCAGGTTAGGATTAGGATTAGGGTTAGGGTTAGAGGATTCAGAAGTGCTATAATGTTCTGTAATGTTCTGTTTGATGTACAGAGCTGACAGCCCCAGTTGGCTTGAGAGTGTGATGACACTCACTCCAATGGTAGAGGGGTGTGTCGAATACAGCGAGGTGATTGGATGGAGAGGCGGAGCAGGAGATCGACCAATAGTAGCTCTCCGGGATGGATGGCTCCCATTGGTCAATGTTTTTGCAGCCCTGAACAGATTTTTTCTGTTCTTTCCTCTCTTCACTTTGTGGAGATTGCACTATTGGACCATGATCACCATAGAAACGAGGTTCATAATAATTACCCATCTCTCCAATCGTCAACCATACCTTTAATGTGTGCAGTGACAACAAAAGCTCAACTCTGTCCAATAAAGTCAGTTTTGTTTGAAGACAGAGGATCATTAAAGGTCAACAAAGTGGAAAACTTAAAATCTTCTCCTTCCTCTTGATCTGGAGTGAATGTAAGGAGAGGACATTTCCTGCCTCAGGTTTCCCATCATGCTCTCTGTGATGTAAACAGTGTTATGTTGTTGTGTGGGTCATGTGTTCGCTTTGCAAACACCTGAGATGTGTTTCCGTTAAAGTTCATGGAGCAGCTGGCAGTGACGTCAGACTAAGGAGATTTTTAGGAACATTCAAGAACGTCCTCTGTTTTATAACGTTGATTTGAGATTCAGATGCATGCATGAAATCATCTGCAGAGTGTAGTTTTGCTGTGTTTCTAGCGCCTGATGGTGAGCTGGAGACGCTGATAAAACTGTTCAGACTCTGACTCGAAGTGTGAGGAGGTTTTTCTGCAGCTTCAAACGCTGATTTCAAATGTGGGACAGAGCCGAGCACAGAGCCAGTGATCATTTATTTCTTTCCCCTGCAGAGCAACGCCGGCTCACACTCTCACATGTTGCATATTCATCTGTGTGTGTGTTTGTGTGTGTTGTGTGTTTGTGCGAGTGTGTGTGTGTGTTAGTGTAATTAAGAGGCTCCCTCATCCTGATCAGAGAGGCTCAATTGGCAGCAGATGAGGCCCTTTGATTTTCTGTAATGAGGGGAGAAAAAGAGGGGGAGAGAAAAAGAGGGAAAGAGAGAGGGGTGAAGGCAAGGGGAGGAAGAGAGAGGTAGGGTGTGAATGGGAAAGAGAGAGGAGAGAGAGAGGTGGGGTAATGAAAAAGTAAAGGCAGAGGATGAAGAGGGGGAGAAAGAGAGAGAGAACACAAAGATAGAGGAGGGGATGGAAGGGAAAGGTAGAGTGAGGAAGGAAGAGAAGAAGGAGCGGTAAAGCTAGAGAGAGGTGGAGAGGTAGAAAACAAAAGTGGAAAGAGAGAGAGAGAGAGAACTGAGAGAAAAGAGGTAAAGGAAGGGAATGGTAGAGTAAGGCTGAGACTCAATTGAGGAGAGAGAGAGAAGGAGAGGCGAGGGACTTGAGGTAGGAAAAGGTAGAGAGAGGTGTAAAATGAATGGAAGGAAAAAGCGAGAGAGAGAGGGAGATAAGGGAGTGAAGAGAGAGAGAGAGAGGAAAAGTGGACCATCACACAGACAGTGGTTGCTCTGTCCATCAGATTTGTGTGTGTGTGTGTGTGTGTGTGTGTGTGTGTGTTTTGGATGAATTACCATGGTAACACGGTTGGCATGGCGACAAAGTTTTTCGTCTCCTAGATGTCCTCTTCCCTCATCCCTGTCTCTCTCTCTGTGTCCCTGTCTCACTTCCAGTTAGTCTCTTTACCCTCTCTCTCTCTCTCTCTCTCTATCCCCTCTGTCTCTCCACCTTTCTCTCTTGTCTCACTGTCCTTTTCCCCTCTCTCCGTCTATCCCCTCCCTCTCTCTCATTGTCAGTAGATGTCTCTCGCCCGCTCTCCCTCTCTCATATTGGTGAAGTTTAGGTCAGTGTGTTTGACCTCACTGTTACGTTTACATGTTTAGAAATGTGAGATATTTATATTTAATTCAATTTGTTCAATTCTGAAAAGTTTTATTGACATGGAAAACAAAGTTTAGATCGCCGTAGTAACGAACAAAACAAAAACAAAAACTACAAAATGAAAAGTGCCAGCAGACAGAAAGGCACTCTGGGAGTCGTAGTGTCTCTGTTTGTTTCATAAACCGGATGTTTTCACTCTGATTGTTGTTCTGATGGTTGAAGGAGGATAGTTTACCGACCTTTGACCTTTGACTGAACGACCGACTCGGACTTTAATATTACAAACTTCATCTACGCCCTCTGAGTCCCCTCAGCGCTGCTACCTCTGAGCCGCTCTCTGTGGATCGCTTACAGCACACACACACACAGACACACACACACACACACACACACACCTTCATCTCCTGCCTCTGAGACATGAGTGTATCAGTGTGTGTGTATTTGTGATGGTGTGTGTGTGCAGAGCTGAGATTGAGGATCTTGTCTTGCCAGCGTCTGAATAAATCATGATGTCCTCCCTCTGCTCCTCCTCATCAATTCTTAATGCTCTCTCTCTCTCTCTCTCTCTCTCTCTCTCTCTGTCTCTCTCTCTCTCTCTCTCTCTCTCCTCTACTCTAAAGTTTGCTCTCTGCTGTAAATCACACCAGCCTCTCTCTTTCATCACCTCATCATCCTCTACATCTTTTTTTCTCCTCCCTCTCTAATTTCTCTCGCTCCGCTCCCTCTTCTATCACACGTTACTCTGGTGTCATCTACACTTCCACTGTTGCTCTGGTATGAAGACTATTTTCATGTAGAAAACAATGCTCTGAGTGATTCAGAAATGCTGTCATTGTGTAGTTTGTCCAGCAGAGGGCGCTTCATCTCTGTAGTAAACCGGACTCTCTGTAAGATCTGCAAGACATGAAGCCGAGCAGCTCGGCTGTTTACTGGTCAAGAAGATAATTATACTCTTAAAGTCTGTGGGTCTTTATCGATAAAATGTGTTTGGACTTAATGTTTACCGGACTTGAAAGGGGGGTGTCCGGTTTTAAACAGGCTTGAATATTGATGCTAACGTCCATGGATGTATGACAGTATATAAGGGCTGTTAGTAGAAATAAAAGCCAAGTATAAATTTTTTTTTACTCTAAAAAGTCAGAAATTTCAAACAAAAGTCAGAAGTCTACGTTTAGTTGGAGGTCTGAAATAATCTTTTATCTTGGAGTAAAAACTGAATCTGAATTTAAGGTCTGAATCATGAAAAAGGACAAAACCTAAAAAAAAAAAATAAAAAAAGTTTGAACTCCGTGAAAAAAACTCTAAATTCTTGGAAAAAACATCAAAAAATTGTAAAAATTCTGTATTCTGAGCTTAACTCCGAATTAAAAAGAAAAAAGAAAAGAAAAAGTCTAAATTCTGAGAAAAAATTTCAAAATTCCTGGAAAAAAGAACCAAAAATTATAAAAATTCTGTGTTCTGTGATTAAGTCAGCATTCCTAGAAAAAAAGTAATCTGCACTTTGTGAAAATTAAACATCACAAGAACTTTTAGTTTTCACTTCCATCTACAAAATGAGCTCTAAGGTGCAACTAACCAGTAACTGCATCACAGAGGACAGCAGAGAGCGTTATTCCACAGTGAGTGAATCAGCAGCACAGACGTGTGGATGAAGCTAAACTGAAGAGGGTCACTGACAGCAGGTTGGGAAGACTTTACAACATTTGATTTCTAAAACAAAACACAGAAGGCAGTTATCTATTAAAAACCCCTGATGGCCCTGCAAATTCATGAAAATGTTTATTTTCAATCAAACTCAGATTTCCTCTCCTCTGGTTTGGCTCCATATTAGTGTGGGTGAGTTTTTACTCTGTGCTGTACGGTAGATTATATTTAGTGTAAACAGCCTCTTAATTTAAATGAAGCCAAATGAAAACAAAGTTTCGACTGTTTGATGTAAACAACACAGAGGAATTTAAATGATTTGGTATTTATCAGGGTATATGTCAATATTATTGTCTCTGTGTTATCTGTAGGTCAGTGTCAGTCACTGCACTACACTTCCCATGATTCACCTGTCAGTCAAACTGCATGATAGCAATCTAGATTCTCGGTTGATAAGGCGTCAGATTCTGTAGATGGAGCTCTTTTCTTTTCTATCAGTCACATCTCTAAGTAGTGTGTCACCGTCAGTGTGTGTGTTTGTGTGTCTGTGTGTGTGTGTGTGTGTGTGTGTGTGTGTGTGTGTGTGTGTGTGTGTGTGTGTGTGTGTGTGTGTGTGTAGATAAACTCTTTCCATTATTCCTCCTGTGGACAGTTAACTGTTTCTCACTGTCAGATGATTTAAATGCTTCGGACGTTTTAACTCACAGTAGACTCTCTGATCTCTAACAGGTGACAGGCAACCTTTGTGTGTGTGTGTGTGGGCATGTGTGTGCATGTGTGTGTGTACTCATAATCTAAATATTCCTACATCCTGCTGCAAGTTTCAAATGTGTTGGACTGTCTGATGACTTTGGATAAGTTTATGAAAAACATTTTTAACGCTGGCCGACTCTCTGATCTCTGACAGGTGACCGCTAGCTGTCACTCTTAGCGCGTGTGTGTATGTGTGTGTGTGTGTGTGTGTGTGTGTATGTATGTGTGTGTGTGTGTGTGTGTGTGTGTGTGAACTTTTGTCCCTGTGTGTGTTTACGTGAGTGTTGGAGAGACATTTGAGCCTTGCACAAGGCCAGCGGAAATGCTCTTTATGCCTCTAACTTGACAAATCCCCAGCGTGTGTGTGTACGTGTCTTTGTGTGTGAGTGTGTGTGTGTGTGTGTCCAGGCCATCCGGCTTGTTAATTTCATTGCGTAACAGGCTTGGGGGGGTAGGGGGGCAGATTGTCTGGAATGGCACGCCGCTCGCTCAATCCTTGATAACTGCTGCCATGGAGAAGCTTTCCACACACACTGACACACAGACACCGGGATTTTAAAGCGACTGGCTGTTTCATTGTCTCACACACACACACACACACACATGCACGCACACACACATTGCAGTTATAACACCACAGTAACATCAGTCTGCTCTTTATTATTACAGAGTCCCTCTTGTATCTATTTTTATTAGCAGAGTTAATGAAGGATCTGCGAGAGACGCTGAAAATGTGGCCTCTCTTTTCTCCATTTACATATCTCTCTCACACTCACACACAAATACACACACAAACACACACACTGTTAACACTCGCTGCGGTAAACTCTGTCACCGCCGAATCCTCCCTCCTTTTAAAGCCAGGTGTTTGTATCTGTGACGTCTGAAAAGCCAAGGGACGAAATACGCTCGATTAAAGAGGCTGTAGATCAGAAGCACAATTCGGATTTTTTGTTAAATCCGATCTTTTTGTGCGGTCGTTCACATTACAACGACGAATGCGGCATCTAATGTGAACAGAATGCATACGTGAAGTGACCCGCATGCACACAAATCGCTTTCCGCGTCTGTTTGTGTTGTCGAACAATGATGACATTTGTCACATATTGATGACGTATAGGTCGGATGAACGAGACCTGAGCGTCCACACTGCAGTCACATCGGATACATAGCCGAATTATATCCACATACCAAAGAGGCCTGGGTCGGATTAGAACAAAATCAGAATTGCACTTTTCACACTTACATGAAAAAATCAGATATTTGTCACATTTGGTTAAAAATTTGAATTGACCTGCAGTGTGAACATAGCCTAAGAAGCACTGAAAGTTGGAGACATTATTCTGGATCATATGAAATATTGCTGCGTTCGAATTACCTTGGAAGTCAGATGTCGGAGCTGAAAATGACGTCACACCCGAGTTCCCAGCGTTTCAGTTACTAAAACCGGAGGCCTAAAACAAGATGGCTACATCTACGAAAGTTATTTTCACGCTTGCCTGATATTCAGACAAGGCAAACGCTCAAATAAGTTCCGTAGATGTAGCCATCGTGTTTCCGCCTCAGATTTTGCTTCTACATCTACAAGTTGTTTTTGCGTTTGCCTTGTCTGAATATAAGGCAAGCGCGAAAATAACTTTCATAGAGGTAGCCATAGAGGTAACTCGAACGCAGCATAAAAACCCAACATTATGAAGGACGTAATATAAGAGCCTGGATGATTTTAGATCTGCAGCCTGTGATCAAACATAAGCAATAAAATAAAAGAGCTTAAATCCTCTAATTTTTATGATATGGTGTATAAAAACGCTTTAAGTGAAACCTGGTGTTTGATTCAGTGAGTGTTATCATCAAAATTAACTAAGTGAAGAAAGGAAGTCTGAGCTGCAGGCTGATGATATTTCCTGTCTTGTAAATCACCGCTCGCCTCAAAAGTAGCTCTAATGTAAAAAGACGTACAGCTTTATTTTTGCTGTGCTGTTTTTTTGCCCTTTTGTTATTTCTGTCCCTGGCCTGGTACACTTTGTTTTAACCCTGACTTTTCTGCGTGTGTGTGTGTGTGGAAACCAGTGCATACTCGGGGCAAGCGACAACAGGTGGAGGTAATCCAAGAAATGTCATGCATCCTGTTGACCGTCCACTGCGGCATTGTGTACATTGTGTTTGTGTGCGGTGACAGGTGGAGGATTCTGAGTGGGGTCCGTCTCGGTCCTCATTGTGTTTGCGACGGAGTGTGTTCCTGTGTTCCTGTGCATTAGCTGTGTGGTTTTCGAGGTATTTAATTTGCGCGTTTGTGCGTCAGTGATTGTTTCTTGTGCGTCAGGAAACAAACATGTGGGTTTTGGTTTTTCTGCACAGTTGAATGATCAGTTTTCAGAGGTTAGACAAATGAGGAACATCATCTTAAAACAACATGTTCCAGACATGATGATGAGGGATGTTCCCATCAGCTGTTGTATATTTAGTATCTGTGATTGCTGATTCCAGATCAGTTAAGAAAACACCACATCCCCTCAGATTGATTAGTTTAGATTAGGATCCATATTTAAGACTGAATCAAAGGAGGTTTTAAAATCTGAGCCTCTCTGGTCCTCGTGTTGTTTGCTCATTGGTTAGACGGTTACATGAGTGTGGAGTTGACGGGAATCTCCGGGACACCTGATGGAAACACTGAGTGGAAGGTTACAGCTGCATGTCAGTGGAGCTGAGAGGGGGAGTTTAAGGGGGATCCCACTTCCCATCCTGATTTGGACTCCCCCACCCTTCCCTCTTCCCCGTCCTCCCCCTCCTCTTCCTCTGGGTATCCCCCTCTCTCTCACTGACTCACAGTCTTGTGGTCCGAGTCCCTCGCTGTTGCTTCTCACAACAACTCAAAGCTCCACGGAGTGATGACACACTACACAGCAGAGGCCAAACCGGCGTGTGTGAGCGCCTTAACCGGGCTGGTCAGGGCGCTGAGGAGACGGCTGAAGGCGCTCAGACGGCTGCTGGTGCATGCTGGGACAGAGGGTGACTGCCAGAGACCGGGACAGGTTTTTGATGGTGGTCAGTGGGAGAAACCGGGGCTGGTAAAGAGGAAAAATGAGGGGACAGTTTTAGGATGTTGTGGACCGGCTAAACACCCCAACTTGACTGTGAGTAGTCCCCCTGAGTGCGCATGTGAGTGTGTTTATATGTGTGCGCGCAGCTTATTAGTCTGTTATGTTAAACTATATCACCTATATTTGTTCCCTGAGCAAGAACCAATTTAAGATGGACTGTCCTGAGATCTTACAAATCATGAATGCACATGAATCAGTGGGCATTCTTTTTGGAAATCATGGATGTGCTTGTAAAAGAAATTAAGATTTGCTCGTTAAAACCACTAAAATAAAGTGAAAGCAGCCAATGAAGATGAACTTAAGTGAAGTAGGAAATTGTACTGTGGTCTTCCAAAATAAAAATGACATTCTTTTTGGAAATCAAGGATGCATTTGTTGAAAACAGTCGGAACTTTCAAAACCATTAAAAGATAGTTAAGATTGTCATTTTTAATAAAATGAAGCAAAGAGAGAAATTGTTTTGTTTCAGAATTTGACATTCTTTTTGGAAATCATGGATGCGCCTATGTTAAAAAAAAAAAGGTTGGTTCATCACCACTTAACTATAGTGAAAGAAGCCAATAAGGTTAAACTTATAAGTAGGAAACTTTACTACGGTCTTCCAAATTAAAAATGACAAGATTGTCGTTTTAGATGATTTCAAGCAAAGAGAGAAACCATCCTGTTTCAGAACTTGACATTCTTTTTGGAAATCATGGATGCGCTTATAAAAAATCAATAGTCGGATTCTCAAAACATCAGTAACATATCTGGACAAACACACATTTAAGATGGACTGAAGCAAAGTAAAAAACTGTCCTAAAATCTGATGAATCAAAATATGTTGGTGGTTTTTTTTTGGAAATCATGGATGCATTTGTTAAAAAAAGGCTGACCAATCAAAACTTCAGCGACATCTCTGGACCAAAACTCGTTTCAGATGGTTTCAGGTCCTGTGGTCTGTTCTTTTTGGAAATCATGTATGGATGAGATTAAAAAACAGAGAAACAATGACAGGAATCCAATCACATTCTTACAGGATTGGTTAAAAAGTGATGTGATGTGTGTTTTTATCCTCCTGGAGTGAGGGAGTTCCCAGCCACCTCTCGAACCCTGACTGTATTTGAATGACGTCTCTGTCTCTGGCATCAGATCAGAGAGCTGCATAAAGGGTCGGCAGCTCCTCCTCAGACGTTCAGGCTTTTTTACTGCTTGAGTTGGATTTCAAACGGTGTTTATGTTGGTGTGATCAGCTGGTGGTGGTGAGGCGCTATTTCCCAGAGCAGATGGCACCCTCGCAGAAATTTTGCCCTTTTTATCGTAGTTTATTCTGGAAAACAGCAGTTGATACAGCTTCCTTAAAATCTGCTTTAAGATCACAGAAATCAGTGGTGAGAGTGTGATATACGTAAGCTGACTGTGTGTGTGTGTGAGAGAGAGAGTGTGAATGTGTGTATGTAAGAGGAGTCACAGGATTCATGTTACCAACACCCCCGTCCTCTAAAAGACTGACGTGTCCTAAGACATTTACTGTGAAACTCACACTGCTGGACTGAACTGTATGGACAACATGCAAAGAAGTCTAAAGTGTCAGATCCTGAACTCAAGTCCTGTTTTTTTAAGGTTACTTAAAGCTCCTGTGAGGGTTTTTTCAGCTGATAATGAAACGTTAGGATTGTTTATTTGACAAACACACATAATTCCTGCAGAACTGTCAGTTTCATGTTTTACCAATCGTCTTAAAAATCATCCTTAAATCTGGTGAAAATGCGACCCCATCTCGGCTTTAAATCACGACTCTGACTTCAGCAGAAACTCCTCCTGGATTTCCCGTCTGTGCAGAGGATTTTCAACGTGTGCAGAGTTTGTGTTAATATAATCTGATGTGTGTAATGTGTCCGTCGGGACGTCTGCTGCTGCGAGCAGAGATGTATAACAACATCACACTAATTCACTCTGTTCGTACGGACTCCTAATCTGATCTGACGGAGGACAGACGATGTGGAGCGTTGCAGAGCTGCTGTGCTGCGTCTCTCCCCGACGGTTTCCAGAGCGAGCTCTTTGGGAGGAGTATGCTTGTGTGTTTTGGCGGTTAATACTTCCACATTTCTGTGATGACATGAGGAGGAAAAACTGGATTTAAAAGTGAAGTGTTTTGGTAAAATGAAGTTGCTGAAATGAGATTTTCACTCAAGTATTTCGTTTTTTATGCAACATCAGAATTGACCATTTATGAGTGTTTGTGTGTTCCCATGTGGTTTTTGCATAATAGACAATAACAGGTTAGAGAGACAGGTAGCTTTTGAGGTGGTGTGTGTGTGGGCGCATTAGGTGTACATGTACATTATTGTGTATATGTGTGTGTGTATATGTGCGTGTGTGTGTGTTGAGAGCACAGGTGCAGGGTTTGCAGTTTTAATCCTGTGATTAAGAGGTGCTACATGAGCATCCTGTCGCTTCAGCTCTGATCCTCCATCTGTAGTCTGACTCACACTGAAACACACACACACACATGAACACACACACACACACACACACACACACACACACACACACACACACAAATATGAAATGGCCACATTCCTAAACTCGTCGTCTTTTCAGAAGTCTATTTTCTCGGCTGGTCTGCGGAGTCAGAGCTGTTTTTGTTTTGTGATCAGCTGTTTGCTGTTTTCAGTACGAGCTGCCTTCAGATCTGTCATGACAGAAAATCTCATTTACAAACAGCGTGATGTCCCGTATTTGTGGCTGTGGAAATGCAGCGAGGACGGCGTGTTTCTGTGCATGATGAGCTGAGAGGAAGCAGAGAAATATTCAGCCAGGTTTTGCTGAATCAATAAAACTATTATCCGTATTATGTCCAAAGTTTAACTTTAGTTTTCGGAGGATGTGTTTGAAACTTTTTCTGAGCGGCACAGAATTAAGAGCCAAAAAGCTCAGAGCAAGTTTTGACCTCAGTGACCTTCCAGTGTTGTGCAGGCTTTAAATCAGTAAGGCAGTAAATCAGAGAAGCTCCAGAGTTTTGATATCATGAACCACAAACTCAGAAAGAAATCTGAGTTTAAAATCTGCAGGGTTTCCATTTCTTGCTGCTTCAGCATTTATAGGTTCATATTTCTGCATTTTCTTATCGTTAGAGATGCACAGATTGGCAGAACTTCAGTATTCGGCCTGTTGACAGTCAGTGACAAATCAACAAATACTGAGCCATGCATGGATGTCAGGAGCTGTTCTTTGTCTGTTGTTTTGCACCGACTTAATAACTTTTTCTGTCTCCTCTTAAATCAATCTTATTTACAGTTATTATTATGTCTGATAGTCGTCGTATCCTGCGTTTAATTCTTAACTCTGAACTTCAAAACTAACACAACAGAGTGGCATCATTCTGATCTCCTCAGCTCAACTCTTTAATACGGTGGCCGAGAACCGCCACTGCTGCAAAAAAGAAAGAAGCCACAACAGAAGTTACTGATGCGAAAAAAAAAGAAACTGGAGCCCACTGCAAACAAACAAACAAACAAAAAAACGGTGTAGATTAAAAAAAATAAGCCACAACAGAAGTTAATGACACAAGAAAAGTGGCGATGCAAAAAAAAAATACTGTAAAAAAAAACTTGGCCACTGTACTAAAAAGTGGAGCTGAGGAGATCAGAATGATGCCACTCTGTCGTGTTAGTTTCAAAGTTCAGTCTTTTTTTCCCTTTTTTTTTGCGTCGTTATTTTCTGTTGTGGCTTTTTTAAAAATCTGCACCGTGTCTTTTTTTATTTGCAGTGTGCTTAGGTTTTTTTTCTTTTTTCATCAGTAACTTCAGTGGTGGCTTCTTTTTTTTTTTTTTTTGCATTCTTTTATTTCCGCAGTAAGTACCTTTTTTTTTTTTGCATCACCACTTTTTTGCGTCATTAACTTCTGTTGTGGCTTTTTTGTTTTTTATTTGCACCTTTTTTTGTTTGTTTGTTTGCAGCAGGCTTCGGTTCCTTTTTTGCATCTGGTTTCTTTATTTCTGCTTTCTTTTTATTTGCAGCAGTGGCGGTTCTCGGCCATCTTAAAATAAGGACAAAAAAAAGGTGCAAAATAACAAAATAAAATTGAAAAGGTAAAACTGCCTGAAAGGTTAACAAGAAAATTTCTATCAGGAGAACATTAGTAGGAAAAAGACAATGAGGAGCAGATGCAGGCTTTTATTTTGAAAGGCCACAGCTGTTCATCGAGCTGACATCTGTAAATATTCCTAGAAAGCAGATTCAGACTCTAATCTACTCCGACTCGTTTTCTCATATTTGCGTGTGAAATAGCAAACTTTTTAATTAGAGCCGTGCATTGTCAGTTTTTCTTCCTTCAGGGCTTCACGTGTGTCTGCAGCTCCTCCCTCTTCAGTTTTATCCCATGAGTGAGAGAGAAGTGCAAACCAGAGAGGAGAGGTGAGAACGGTCCAAATAAAGATAGAAAGAGAGGAAGGAGGAGGAGGGATCCAGGGGAAGGAAAGGAGGGAGGGAGGGAGGGAGGAAGTCTCCGAGGGAGAGAGAAAACGGGTGAGAGAGGTAGACGCAGAGTGAGGGAGAGAGAGAGAGAGGAAGGAGTGTCAGGGACGAGCAGAAGCCGGCTGCATCCTGTAGTCTCACAGTTGATGCTCAGGAGCATGTTAGCACCACGCAGCCTCGCCCGCCGCCAGGACTACAGGACCCACAATGCACTGGGATACTCGCCAGCCAGCAGGTCACCCACCTGGGAGATACAGGTACAGAGGGAGGGGGAAGCGGAGCAGTCAGAGAGGGATGGAAAAGAGAGAGAGAGGGAGGAGGAGAGGGGGGAAAGATTCAGGGGTGCAGATGAGAGCCGAGCAGAGAGGATGATGGGAAATGTGTCCACCTGCTCACTTATCTGAACTCTGAGCTCATTAAAAAAGAGCGATGAAGGATGCTGTAGAGAAAGGATGGAGCCACACACACTCACACACACACACACACACACACACACACACAGTATGGTATCATTAGTCACTCAGCTACAGCGGGAAGCAGGTATCGGGGGTGGATCCATGACAACTGTGCATCCTGAAATGTGTGTCTCCTTAAGTGTGTGTGTGTGTGTGAGTGTGTGTGTGTGTGAGTGTTGTGGTTTCCCGCTGAGCAGATGACGAGTGTTCGGGCACCCTGCTCAACCTGTCTGTGATTCACGCAGATGATCAGACTGGAGGGAAACAGGCTCCAAAATCCTCCTGCTGCTCCTGCTTCAGTTTACTCCTGGATACACCTGAAGCTTTATATGAACCACATTTCCCACAATGCCTTTCGTTGCAGAGGACATGCCTGTACTTGCTCCTTTTCGCCTCATTGTTTTGACTGTTTGGGGGACGGAAAAGCTGTAGATCAGAAAAAATTACACTTGTGTTAGTCACTCAGACCCCGCCCTGTCATGTGACTCACTTTCTGCAATGCATTCTGGTCTCTGTAGGATGAAACAGGTCCTGAAATTTGTGAAAGTAGCTGTAAATGACAAACTTTCACCAACACCGAAAGTCATACATGATTCCTTAAATTCAGTCAGAAACTCGTCCTACACCTTTCAACCGAGTCTAATGAAATCTGATTAAACCTGCAGAAAAACTTCACAAAAACGATCGCCTCTTTAATTCATTGATAAAATAAGATAATAATGATTTTGTTGGTGTGTTACAGGATGACGTGCCGATCAAAGAGATCAACATCACAAGCCTCGTGAAGGAGGGATCAGAAAAGGCCGACCCCCGACAGTTCGAGCTGCGCAAAGTTCTGGGACAGGGATCCTTTGGCAAGGTACCTCTATGTGTGTGTGTGTGTGTGTGTGTATTTTTTTGAAGTGCTTGTGTGAGTGGGCACGAGTGTGTGCCTAAGCGTGGGTTTCATTTCCACTCAGCTCCCTGTAATGTTTCCTGAGTGGCTGTGTTTAAGAGCGTGTTGCCTCAGAGACGGCGAGCTGAGGGCTCTACACTCGGGCTGAGTATCATCGTTTTTATGAATGAAAGGAAGCTCCTGCGACGTATGTGTGGTTGTGTTTTTGTATGTGTTTAGTCATTTACATGTTCTTGACCCAGAAAAATTGGCCGATGTAAACAAACAAACTCAGACACAAACGCAAAATTAAGAGTTCATTAAATAATCAAAATACGCTCCGGCGCTCAGGACCGTGCTCAGACTTTTTTAAGTGTTGCTGTCCAATTAAAGCGAGGAGAGATGCAGAGGGTCAGGGTACGGATGAAGTTAGTCTCCATATTTTTCTGAATTCTGTTTTTTTGATGGCATAATCTACTGCTTTGAAATGTCACTTTTTAGTAATCTTTGTTTCCTTTTATATTTTTATGACTTTTGTAATGATTTTTCAATTTCGTCAGTGTCTCATGTTAATAAAGTCGTAAAAACAGTCATTTTCTCATGTAAGTACGGTCATGAAACTGTAAATTTCTCATATGAAAGGGTTGTTTAACAGTAATTTCCTAACATAAACACACTCGTAAAAACGGTCATTTTCTCATGTGAATAGAATCACAAAAAAAGGCATTTTCTCATGCAAATACAGTTGGTAAACAGTCAATCCGCATGTGAAAAAAGGTTATTTAACAGTCATATTTCTCAATCAATTAGACATTGACAGTCTTTTCTCATGTAAATACAGTTGAAAAATGTTTTTGTAATGAGAAAACAGTCGTAGAAAGTCATTTTTCTCATGTAAATACAGTCATAACAAGTCATTTTCTCATTTAAATACAGTCTATAATTTTTAATATTTCCAATTCCAATTATTTGCAGTAATTTTACTATTAGGTCTTTGTGTGTCTCAAGGTGTTTTTGGTGAGGAAGATCACAGGACCAGATGCAGGTCAGCTGTACGCCATGAAAGTCCTGAAGAAAGCCACACTCAAAGGTATGAAAAAGGACATTTTTAAGTCTTGATTTTATTTTACTTTCACAGCCTCCTCCTCAAGTTTCCAAAGTTTCCTATTAACACGTCCCTCACTGCTTCACCTGTCGATCAGGAGAGGTGAGGCGTGTCAGAAAGTGGACACTGCATGAGTCAGACCTATGATGTCTACAAATTATCCAAGATGGTGGGCGAAACAGTCTCTGTTACTATGGCGACTGTTTTTGCCCTCATAGAAATGCTGAATGAGTAGAGACGTGCAGGGCTCCCACAGATCCTTAAAATGATGAAGTCTTCTTTCTCTCCTGTGAGAGGACTTCTCAGGTGTGACGTGTGTGTAGTCAGGATGAAACCGACTAAGTCTAGATAATGTTTGTGCAGAGTTTTATCTTTTTTAATAACTAAGCTTTCTTTGTCAAGCTTTCTGATCCACGTTTCACAGTTGCCTGTTGACACTGTGGCAAAAAATGCTCATTTCCTTGACCTTTGAGACCTGCTTACTTTACACGATCCCCCACTTGTACTTAGTAAAGACCTGATAGAAAAATACTCAAAAGGCTTTTTGCTTTAAGACAAATCTTTTGAGTACTGCTTTTATTCCGTCACGACCAGGCAGATAGAGCCTCAGACTAAAGACGATTGTCCTTCTGAACTCCTTTAATTTGAGCGAAAAGGTCGAGTATATCTCATATTTGTCCAAAGGTCGGTATCTCTCAGGTAGGAAATCGTTCGCGGGTCGGTTCAGAGCGTGTTTGCTCAGCCGTCATCGCCCAAAAATGGAATTTCACACCTCAACATGAGACCAGAGTGACTGAAAGCTGATGAGGTGTATGAAGAGAGGAGGACATGATGTGTTCAGTTCAAGTCAAACGCCATCTGCTGGTGGAAAGAAACACATCACACTCTCTCATACTCTTCTTTTTTTTCTCTCTCTTCTCTTTGACTCATATTTCTGTCGTTTTTCCTTCTTGTTGATTCTTACCCCTCTCCCTGATATGCCGTTACTCATCAGCTGCTCTCTGGGAGTCTCTCCAGTCTAAATAAAACCAAATAAGGGAGTCTGTTTTATTTTGGCGCTTCACTTATCTTCTGATTTATGTGTTTTTCCACTCTGTGTGTGTGTTTCCAGTGCGTGACCGAGTCAGGACAAAGATGGAGAGAGACATCCTTGTGGAGGTCAACCATCCCTTCATCGTCAAGCTGCACTACGGTGAGTCAACCAATGACAGACCTCCCATGATGAGTCACCAACGCAGCGGCCAATGAGAGCTGATCATTCCACTTTTAGCAGGCGACTGACCTTTCCGTGGAAAGTGACTTTTTCGTCATTTAAAACTTTTTCTCCTTCAGCCTTTCAGACGGAGGGGAAGCTCTACCTGATCCTGGACTTCCTCAGAGGAGGAGATCTCTTCACTCGCCTCTCTAAGGAGGTAGCACCTCACAGACAGTGGTCCACAAAGAGAAAGACTTTCTACTATCAGGGTTTTTGATTTTCCTGCCAGTTTGTCATGTTTTTATTAACTCTGATCACGTGTGTTTCAGGTGATGTTCACGGAAGAAGACGTGAAGTTTTACCTGGCAGAGCTCGCTCTCGCCCTCGATCACCTTCACAGCCTCGGCATCATTTACAGAGACCTCAAACCAGAGAAGTAGGAACACTCACACACTTACATACTTACTCTCTAATGTGACCAACAGGGGACTATCAGTTTATCCTAACCAAGTGGACCCTCAACATGATTTCAAGATTCAAGATTTGTTTATTTGTCATGTGCATGTTAAACAAGGTCAACAATTTCAATGAAATGCCCTGGATGAGAGGACCGCTCGACTCAAAGAAGTACAGATAAAACACACAATAAGTACTGAGAGGTACAATAAAAAAATAAGGATTCATAAATATATATATATGTTAAAGGTGAATAAAGTATAAGAGAAATATCTACAAAGTGCACAAGCGATGCAGTAGATTCTGAGCGTGAATGTACAAAATGGAGGATAAGTCGGTGGGATAAATGAGGTATGAAAACTGTCATATTGCACCTGATAAATAATAATATAATAGTTAAGTATGTTATTGCACAGAGTAGAGTGCCCAACAAAAAACTAATTCTTCATGGTGTTGACAAAAGAGTGCAGGGACGGTGTTATCTCTGTGTTTTCAGCATCATCCTTGTTTTATTTCTGTTCCGTCTCATTTTAAAGATTTACAAACCCCCGTCATGTTAAAACATCCCAAAATTCTGACTCAAAAAGTTGACCTCATTGAGCCGTAATTTAGCAGAAAAAGCTAAAAGACTTGGTCATTCGCAGACCTATTGGTCTCTGTGCAGTTTAAGTGAAAACCCTTCAAAGGGCTTCATAATAATGCAGGTTTAATCGGCGGTCCCCACTTAGTGATTGTGCATAAAAGCTGAAGTCCCCTGTTGGATGGGTATACAAGTAGGGTGTACACACTGCATTATAAAATTTTGCTTACAGACATTTCCTCCAGAATATAAAACCCTCATTTCTGCCTTTTCAGCATCCTGCTCGATGAGGAGGGGCACATCAAGCTGACTGGTGGGTAATATTACACCTGTTCTTTGTACTTGGTGTATTTTTGTGTTAGTGTGTGTGTGCGTGTGTGTGTTTTCTTCAGGCCTCCGCTGATAAACTCCATTATCTCTGATTTCTGTCTGCGTGTGTTCAGACTTTGGCCTCAGTAAGGAGTCCATCGACCACGAGAATAAGGCCTACTCCTTCTGTGGGACGGTGGAGTACATGGCTCCTGAGGTGGTGAACAGACGGGGTCACACGCAGAGCGCCGACTGGTGGTCGTACGGGGTACTGATGGTGAGAGGACGCTGCTTATCTACTCTGTTTTGGTTGCAACTGTAACAAAAACTAGCACAATACCAAAAACGGATGATAATCGAAAGAGCTTCACGGTTGCATAAAAACTGCACATTGTGGACTCTGATGGAACTCTTCATGTAAGACCACTTTTGACCCCAAAAAACAGAATTTTTTAAACTAACTTTTTAATAACTAAGCATGGAGAGTTGATACATGTGATGTGAACTGCCAAACTTTTGAGCTGCTGTCCTAAATAGACTAAATATAACATCTTACAGCCAATGTAACACTGATTTTGCTCAGGTTCTAGGTGTGTAAAATATCAATGACGGTGTGTCCTTCCTTTCTCTCAGTTTGAGATGCTGACGGGAACGCTTCCGTTTCAAGGCAAAGACCGGAAAGAGACGATGACCATGATCCTGAAGTAAGACTCCCTCCGTACTGTCCGTGCACTCACATCCTCACATCCTCACAGCTTATATTACAGCCCACATTAGAGAGGAGCAGGCAGATGCTCCTCTATCACTCCATCCTCCTCTCACAGAGTCAGCCCAGGGGGAGGTGGAGGATTTATATTCGAGGAGATTTAGCGCAGCACTCAGGAGGAAGAGGAAAGGACAGAGGAAAGGACAGAGAAGAGACAGTGAGGGAAGGAGTCACATGAGAGAGAATTAAAAAACAGTTCAGAGGAAATATTAACTCCTCCTGCTCTCTCTCTCTCTCTGTGGTCTCTCTTCACTCTGTCTTTCAAATAATGCTGAGTCGGCTCTCTGCAGACTGCTGAGTGTGTTTCCTGTATTTGTGTGTGTGTGTCATCTACTCTTTCAGATACATACAGTTCGAAAAGAAACCTGTTTTGACTTTTGTTTCTGAGCTTTATGTGTTTGTTTTCCTGCAGGGCCAAGCTCGGGATGCCTCAGTTTTTAAGCTCAGAAGCTCAGAGTCTCCTGAGGAACCTCTTCAAACGTAACCCTGCAAACAGATTAGGTAAAAACTGGTTTATAATATTTTTCATGCATGAAAATAAAACAAAACAAACACAGTGAAGGTCAGCGGGGATGCAACTCATCATTTTTGGAAGTTTATTCTGCAAGTTGAAGTTTATTTTTTGGTTAAAATGATGAGCATGTGTTTCCAAACAATCTGATCAATGAGATTAATCTGATCCAATCTGATCCGCTTTATTTATACAACACATTATAAAAAACATTTAAGTTCGCCAAAGTGCTGCACAGTAAAATTTAAAAAGAAAACAGACATAAAAGCAGGTAAAAAAAAAATAAAAACATTTCAAATGAAATAAATTCACAAAAGCATAAAAGAAATAAAAGTGATAAAAGGACAATAAAAAGACATAAAAGGACAGTAATCACACAACTCTCATGCTGAGCTAAAAGCCAAGGGATAAAAATGAGTTTTAAGACGTGATTTAAAAGTAGAAAGTGTGGGGAATGTTTTGATCTTGAGTGGCAATTCGTTCCATCCGCCGCTGAAAATAGTCCCTGAAGAAACATGATGGGCTCTATTTTCGTGCCCGCCGGCAGCGTGGCAGGGGGTGGCGGAACCCTCGCAGTGGTATTTTCGTCTGGCGGAGCCCGGTGTACAGCCAGTTTGGTATTTTCATAGACTGAGGCGCACCGAGATCCATCAAGCTGGGCGTGGTGGTGCGACACTTGTTGAGGGGCTGCCTTCTGTCGCCATCGTGTGGCATTGCTGTCTTCAGCCATCTCTTGATCTCTTTGACTACTTCACGAAAACTGTAATACGCCTCGCCCTCTCTACGACTTACGCCGGTGAGAGGAGGTGAGTTAGGGAGGGGGGATACTTACGCCGGGCTGTGCCGCTCACCAAAATACCAAAATGTGCTTGGGCATGCTTTGCTGGCGCGGCAGACCTGACTTATGCCACGCCCACGCCACCCCGCCGGTGAGGAACGAAAATAGAGCCTGATATCTTTTTTTGTTTTGTTTGTCTTCAGGAGCCGGACCTGATGGTGTGGAGGAGATCAAGAGGCATCAGTTTTTCAGCACCATCGACTGGAACGTACGCTCTTCATTTACCAAGCTCTGAACAAAATATTCCGCTTAATTTAATCATTTTATTTCACTTTCTGATGTTTTTTCCTCCTTGCAGAAACTCTTCCGCAGAGAGCTCCACCCTCCCTTCAAACCGGCTGCAGGCCGACCTGACGACACTTTCTATTTTGATCCGGAGTTCACGGCTAAGACACCCAGAGGTACCGACTGTCACCTCCTCCTCCGCCTCTCCTCCCACTTCCTCTCCTCTGTCTTACACTCACACTCTGAATCAAATCCACGCTGTGTCGAGTGCTCTGGACCGACATCTGTTCTGCGTTTGTGTCTCAGACTCTCCAGGTGTTCCTCCCAGTGCCAACGCCCATCAGCTGTTCAGAGGATTCAGTTTTGTGGCGATAACAGAAGAGGACACGCAACCGATGCCCAAGACCATCGTTCAGGTACACACGCGAACGATAAACATACGAAACTGTGTGTTGGTTTTGTGGAGACACAGTTTCTCCTTTTGGTTTTTGAAGTACCTAAAAGGAGCAAAATCACGTTGCTCTTTGTGTTCTTGCCTCCAGCAGCTGCACAGAAGTACATCCCAGTTTTCTGACCTCTACGAGATTAAAGAAGACATCGGCGTCGGCTCGTACTCCATCTGTAAACGCGCCGTACACAAAGGAACCGGCATGGAGTACGCAGTCAAGGTAACCAAACACAAACGCCTGCTCTGTCCGCACCACTCTGTCCTTCTATTACTACAAACTCTGATTCGGTCTCTGTTTTAGATCATCAGCAAGTCCAAAAGAGACCCGACGGAGGAGGTGGAGATCCTGCTGAGATACGGACAACATCCGAACATCATCACCCTCAAAGATGTGAGTCACGTGATCTTAATCAGACGAGTTTGTCTTTAAGGGAACTGTCCGTGTAGCTGCTGGACTCCACTATCATCTCTCTGTGTTTTGCTCACAGCTTTAGTTTGGTGGGGGTTTATTTGGGGGATGACTCACTCTTAATGAGAGTTATAAATATCAGCCTGCTGCTGGGTGAAAACTCGCTCACTTGCATCACTTCCAGGACTGATAATATCTGCGCTCATCTTCGGTCCCTTTGTTGAAAAAAAAAAAAGCTGTTAGAGATGATTCAGCGTCTTGTCAAAGATTATAAATAAAGAACCCGTTTGTTATTTACACGGGATTCTGGTTTCAGTGTCGCTGCCGTATTTCTATGAGCATCTGTTCTCTTTTCATCTTCGATTCCTCTGATTTGGACGGAGGAAGATTTTCTTTTTTATCAAGTTAAAACAACAAAAAGTCAAAGTGGGGGCACTTTCAGGGGAAAATAATATAGATAAATCTTTTAAAAGGTTCATTTTCCAACAGGTTAGTAACATGACGTCCCTCAGAGGTTCACCGCTCTGTGAGAGACTGCGTGAGCTGATAGTTTAACCAGTGTTGGGAAAGTTCATTTTCTACCTGAACTAGTTCAAAGTTCAGTTCATCGTTCATAATTCCACATTTGGAACGTGAGTTTATGGTTCCCAAAAATGAAATAATTTAGTCTTTTTCATTCTCCAGTACTTTGCTGTAAGCGAGTATTTGTCAAGATTTTTTACAGAGCCCTTATAGAACCACAGACAGTGATTATTTTAGCTGTTTTAACACTGAAACTATGTCAGATTAATCTTCATATCCATTTTTGAATCCTAATCCAACAGGTTTACAACATTGAGAGGACAGTCCTCAGAATACCGGTGTTTCCCTGATGTTTAGTTCAGTCCTCACTCGTAAGAACGTTCATCTCTAGAGTTTAATTTCATAAACATGAGGAAAACCTGCTGCTTGAAGGGTTTTTAGACTCTTTATTATGATTACAACAACAGGACTGTCGGCTTTAAGGTTTTTCATTTCTATACTTTTCCAAATCGACCTTGAAACAATTCACATCAAATTTCATTTCAGTCAGACTGAAAAGAAACCAGAACAAATACTGGAAATAACAACAATAATAACAATAAATGCTCATACAGCAGCTAGTGCTACCTCCCTCGTCCATCATGTTTACTGAAATTGTGACGACTGACGTATTAATTGGAGCGACAGACAGGCTGCTTGTGGTTTCCAGATTGGGTGGCTTTCCACTAAATATTAAGGCTTGTTTACAGAGTGTTTTAGCCGGGGTTTTGAAGGCTCTGGACATCTGGCACACTTGTGAACGGAGTTGAGAACGCCGCTCACAGACGCCAGAATGAGCGTGTTCAACACCAACGAGTTCATACGCAAATAAAGAACGAGTTAGGACACAACACTGAGTTTGACAGTTTCAGAATAAAGTGTCTGAGTGTGAATGAGTGGATCTCATCGTCTACAGAATGTAACATCATTAAAACATTCAGAGAGTCTGGAAAAGAGACTCTGAAACCCAGAGGCTTTATGAACAGACATGACTCTGTAGTGGAAATCACCGCATGGACTCAAAATCAAAATGAAGACTGAATGTTCAGCTGAGAGTCTTTGTTAAATGTGTTTAAGAAGAGACATGTTTTTTTTTTTTTATCTGTATTTGAGAAAGTTTGTGTGACTCATCTTCTGCCCAAAGTCCTCTCACTGCATGTTTAATGACTCTGACGCCACAGATATCCAGAGCTGTCAGATCTGAAGCTGTGGTATTGTCTAGAAATCTATAATAAATGAGAACACGGAGTAATTCACTGACTGAAGTGTTGTTTGTGTGATGTTGGTGACGCAGGTGTACGATGACGGCCGGTCTGTGTTTCTTGTGACGGAGCTGATGAAGGGAGGAGAGCTGCTGGATAAAATCCTCCGACAGAAGTTTTTCTCTGAGCGAGAAGCCAGCGCTGTTCTCTACACCATCACCAAGACCGTGGAGTATTTACACGTACAAGGGGTACGATCTGACGCCGACGATGTGGAGTGGAAGTTCAACACAAAGATACTTTCTAAACAATCTTAAATCTGAGGGACCAAAGTTGATATCGTTTTGTATTTCCTTTTATCCTTTTTTGTCCCTGACTCTTCTTCTCTGTCTTGGTTTCAGGTGGTTCACAGAGACCTGAAGCCGAGTAACATCCTCTATGTGGACGAGAGCGGGAACGCCGAGTCCATCAGGATCTGCGACTTTGGTTTTGCCAAACAGCTGAGAGCTGAGAACGGTCTGCTCATGACGCCGTGTTACACCGCGAACTTTGTGGCCCCGGAGGTACGACATCCAGATCGTTCATCTCCTTTTCTTTTGTTTGTTTCCACCAATCAGGGCCTTTCATTTCGTCTGCTGTCTGTGGTTGTTAGGTTTCATAAACATCTTTAGATATCAGCCGCGTAAACAAGAGCGCAGCCGTCAGGTGTTCATAAGAACCTGTAAGGTTGAGACGTCAGCATCCAGGAGGTGTTGAAGCTGTGTGAGAGAAAAACAGAACAGCTGTTTGATTAAACGCAGCGAAAAACACTAAACTGTTGTTCTCCTTCTGACAGGTGTTGAAGAAGCAGGGTTACGATGCCGCCTGTGACATCTGGAGTCTGGGCGTCCTGCTCTACACGATGCTAACAGGGTGGGTGGAAATAAAAATACATGAAAACCGTGTAGCCGTAAGAAGACTGTGATTCCTCTGTGGAGGTCTGATCATGAACTTCCTCTCCATTTTCAGGTTCACTCCCTTCGCTAACGGTCCCGAGGACACGCCGGAGGAGATTCTGGCTCGGATCGGCAGCGGGAAGTTTTCCCTCACTGGAGGATACTGGAACTCTGTGTCGTCTGAGGCCAAGGTGAGAAACAACCAAGTTTTTAATTCTTTCTTGACTTTCTCTGTTTGTTTTTAAACCTTCAAAATATGAATCCTTCTAAATGTTCAGCAGATTGTTAAACTTTGACCTCGTTTTACAGGCAAACGTTGTACTTTTTAACCCGCTACAAATTCCTGTCAGTTTAGTTAAAGGTCAGAAAGAGCGGACCGCTCAAAAAATTTAAACTAAAACTACACAGACACAACAAAACACAGAGATATCGTTATATTACCAAATGTCATCAATAACTGATAACTATTGACTGATATTAAAAGCTTTTTTGTTTATACACCACAAACAAAGATTCTGCTTTAACAGATTCCTGCCTACCCTACTTTTAACTCTAAAATAAAACATTAAATTCTTCTTCTCGTCAGGTAAAAGTCGATCACCTCTGTGTTTTTACTTCTTGATTTCTTAAAATACAGAAACTTTTAAAAGGGTAAAAACATCTTTTACAAACCATAAAAAGTCTCCTGAATAGAGATTTGTATTTCAGGGATGTGCTTCATGTCGAACAAACGAGTCGGACTAACTTTCCACTTACTGTTCAGTTTGTTTTGAAATGATAATCTTTGTCTTAAACCGTCAAAACCACAAAAGATAAATTTAATCTTAATCTGGAAAATGAATCATTACGAGCGCAAACACGGTCTGCTGACAGCACACCGCTGATGAGTCAAAACCATCGGAGATAAAAGTCGACAAAAACATCAACATAGAGACCTGAAAACATAAAGGTTCCAGTTTTCCGTCGCTGTCTCACTGAAAATATAAAATATCTGATAGTTGAACTCGATCAGGAGGCGTTTCCGTTCAGTTTAACCTTTTTCACTTTGAAATAAAACAGCTCGTCGTTTTATTTCTAAACCCCAGACTCAAATGAAGGATCTGACTTTTATAGAAGAATTCATTGACCCTGACCTCTGACCCTCTTAGGACCTGGTATCAAAGATGCTGCATGTGGACCCTCACCGGCGGCTGACAGCAGGTCAGGTCCTCAGACACCCCTGGGTGACGCACAGAGACCAGCTGCCCAAATACACACTGAACCGACACGACGAGCCCAACCTGGTGAAGGTTTGTCTCCGCACAGATTTGATATTTTACTGCTTACAGAATAATTTCAAAATAAAAGCTCGAGTCCCTCTGCGGTGTCTCTGTTGCTCGCCGTACTCTGACCCTCTCTGCGTCTTCTCCTCAGGGCGCGATGGCGGCGACGTACTCGGCCCTGAACAGGAACGTCCCTCCGGTCCTGGAGCCGGTCGGCTGCTCCACTCTGGCCCAGCGGAGAGGCATCAAGAAGATCACCTCCACCGCTCTGTGACCTTTAACCTCCCTCCCTCCCTCCTCCTCAACTCTGACCTCGACCTGACCTCCGCCGGGCCACCCCCCTCCTCTCTGACTCCCTCTCTGGTCCGGTGGGACAGACTACTGATGAACCCAGGAACCGCTTACGCCAAATAGGAACGCAGAGACCACTCCCACGCCCACCCTCCTCCTCCTCCCTGTCAGGTCCTGCACCTTAACGGACTCCTCTGATTGGTGGTTGAGAACCCATCGTCTTTGCTTCGGACAATCAGTGCGGCGCTAGGAAAACAAAAGTACTGTATTTATTTCCTTCAGAGGGGCGAGTGTGACCACGGGAACACGGTAATCTCATGTATGCATTTAAAGAGCTAGGATCATTGTTATTCTGCTGTCGTCATGGTTCTGCGTAGCTGTAGATCCTGTATTTAAACCTCAAGTAGCCTCTGAGATGACGGCGTCGACGGAGAAGGACAGAAGGCGTGACTGAACGTCAAAGAGAAAAGAAGGAATTCAAAGCATTTACTCAAAGTTCGGCTCAGAAAAAAGTCTTTACATCTCACACTTCCAGTATTTTTACTTTGAGCTGCAAAAAAAACGAGACAAAAACAGATGGAAGTTTGTTCCTCTCAGACTTTATTTTGAGGGTCCAACAGTTTGTTCATGAATCAAGCAGTCTGTTCAGGAAGTTGATGCCAACCTTAGGAACGAAATCAGACTTTAACCCTTTCAGGTTTAACGAATACTCACACCTCAAGAGTGTGATATTTCAGTATTATCCAGAGCTCTGAGCTGATGAAAAATATGCAAATATAAAATTGAACTTCAAAGAAAGGTGCTTACTGGAGTTTCAGGAGGTGAAAGAAGTCATTAGGGACTATTTTCTGCTGCGGATGAATCCACGTTAACCCAGAAGAAGAGGCGGATATATCAGGCTTTGACTTTGAGTCAATTAGCAGCACATTTCGTCAACATACAGATTCATGTTGAAGGTTCAGGGTAGTTTATTTGTGCGCACAGGTAGATGTGGTTTTCACCTCATTAGACAGAAACAGTGATGGTTAAACAGAGAATTTAAGTAAAATAAATCATCATCCAATAAAAAAAAACAATAAATAAAAGTGAGTTAAATGTGCCGTCAGTGACAACAAGAGAAAAAGAGACAACAGAGAGAGAAAACTGAAGGATTAAACCAACAAATACTACAAAAATACTGGAGTTTGGTGCTTAGGAAAAAAAACTCTTAAAGGGATATCCTTCAGTTTGACTTTTATAACATCTTCAGGCACATTAAAGGTCCTTTAGTTATCAGTTTCTCATCATTTTCACTTAAATCAGAGTCAGCTGTTACACATTTGGTTTTAAAGCTGCATACCAGGCATCTGTACGATTTGTGGCGCCCTCTGGTGGAAATAAGAGGAATTATATTCTTTTCTCTTGGGGTATTTTAGAGAAGTTTGTGTCTTCTTCACAGTCTGTCTGATCTCAAACTGTTGGACTCTCTCCTTCAAAACAAGCTTCAAATGCCGATCTTCCTGCAGACACGCAGAGGAAACATCAGCCTCTGACCTTCTCCTGTACGAGCTGAATGATCGTCTCTGTGCGAGCAGCAGACGGGAGCTAAACTGTAAATATTTAAACATGTACGAGCAAAAAAAACTCAGGTTTCTATGAATCAAGACAATGCATTTTTATACGTGGAGCTGAGGAGACAAGTGTAAATAAAAGCACACAGGCATGAGCGACAGGAGGAGAGCATTTATCAGACGAAAGAAAGTTTTATTCCACATGTTGTCTCGTCTCCAAGTCTTCCTGAAACATTGGTTGTTGTTTTTTTTTCTATGTTTGTCACTCAGAAAGTCTTCTGTCTGCAAAACCCTTTAAAGAAACTCAGATGTGTAGCAGAAAAACGAACAGTTCGAAACATTCCAGCTGAAGCATTTGAAGCTTCAGATACACTCAGACCTGTGGAGGCCGTGTTGGAGGTTCAGGAGACAGTTGGTTTGGACAGAGTATCAGGGCAACCGGTGAGAAAAAAATTTACTTCATGAGAAAATAGTAAGAATTAAGAAACAAATCAGACGTTCAAGGTCCAGATTTGAGTCCAGGAGGCTGCATGAGTAAGTTTAGTAAGTTTCACTGTTACTCTCTAAAACCTACGACCTCAGTCTCACAACTTTACCACCTGAATCTCCTAAATTTATGACGGAGATCATGTTCATTTTCTTCTTAATCTTATAATTTTACAACATTTATTTTGAAAGTTTACAACTTTACATGCTTGTCGATTAACAACTCTCACATAATAGATTTATGACTTAAGTCTGCTGTAATAGTTACATCCTCATCTGTAAATTTACAACTTTAAATTTGTAGATTTACAATGTAAATGTCATAAATACACAATTTTTAATCACGTGAATTTACGACTATTATCTTGTAAATGTACGACATAAATCCCATAAATTTGAAACTCTATAATTGAGACATAAACTCTGTAAATTAACAACAATTATCAAGTAAATTCACGACTTCAATCTTATAATTTTACAACATTCATTTTGGAAGTTTACAACTTTACATGCTTGTCGATTAACAACTCTCACATAACAGATTTATGACTAAAGTCTGCTGTTATTTTTAAATCCTTATCTGTAAATTTACAACCTTGAATTTGTAGATTTACCTGAATTTAAAATTCATAAAAACACAACTTGTAATCACGTGAATTTACGACTATTATCTTGTAAATGTACGACTTTAATCCCATAAATTTGTAACTCTATAATTGTGACATTAATTCTGTAAATTTACAACAATTATCAAGTAAATTCACGACTTTAATCTCTTCATTTATCATTTAAATCTGGTGAAAATGCAACTTAAATCTCATAAATTTACAACGTTATGCTTAAAAAATCAAAACTTTAATTTATGATTTTTTTCTAATCCAAGTTAATTTTTTCGTAAACTTTAGATGAATTCTTTGAAATCTGGGGTTTAATCTCTGGCCGTAATCCTCTGTCTTAAAAGTCTTGAGTATTTTAAAGTCGTTGTGTAAATTGAAAGTCATAAACAGTTTCAGACTCTCCTCCTCAGACACTCTCCGGTTTGATCGAACCTCCAACACGGCCGTCAGAGTCTCATCACGTTAAACTTATCTGTATCCAGGTGTTGAACTGTTTGCTGTACCTGTGCGTGCCTCCTCTCACCTGTGGGGTTGAAAACTTTCTCCATGAGCAGACTGAAGACAATCAGCGAGCAGGACAAAAAACAGGAAACGCCTCACACTGTCATCGCTCTGCTTCCTCACCTGTGCTCACCTGAACGTGCGTCAACACAAAGGGATGTAACTTACCTGCTCTGAGACTAAAGTTAGAGCTTCTTTGTTTTTTTTGTTTTTTATTTTTATGATTATGAAATATATTAATGTTGTTTCATTTTTGATGTACAGCTCTGGGATAAAGGAATGTTCAAGATTTTTCTGTAATTATAAACAGGGGAAAAGCTTTCTTCTTCTTCTTCTTCTTCTCTCTCTCTCTCCTCTTCTTCTTCTTTCTGATCCTGTCAGAGATGTATTCAGCCCTGCTGCTACACCAGCTCTCTGTTTTTGTACCTGCAGTGAGAGTTGGACTTTCTATTAAAAATAATAAAAGGATAATCAGTGAAGAAACGCGGTGTGACTCTGGTTTCATATCAAACAGTAACACTTCAGATCTTCTGATGGGACAAAAACGCTGAATAAAAAGTTTATCAGGGTGAAAAGTCAAGAAAAAGTTAAATTACAAACATGGAGAACTGCAGAAGAGCTTTAAAGCTGAAGTTTCTTAAACGTGCAGCAGAGGGAGACTCCACACAGTGAAAACAACCCTGACTGTATGAGACATTGATCCACTTTTGACTTAAAGCTGCTGTGAGGAACTTTTTATTTCAACTGTGGTGCCAATTGTTGACAATGATGTACAACTTTCTTCAAGTGATTTTGTCCTTTAAGTAAAGGATGTAAAATTAAAAATTACGGTAAAGGGGCCACAAGCTCAGGAGGTAAAGTGGTCATCCAATAAGTGGAAGGTTGGCAGTTAAACACCCCCCCTATCTCTAGTCTGTTGGTTGTGTCCTTGGGCAGAACATGTATCTTTATATAACTAAACTATGACTTTTTTCAACACACTATGCTTTGACATTTTTAACATACTATACTATGACTTTTTTTTCATACTAAACTTTGACATTTTTTCATCCAAAATTTTGGATTTTTTAAAAACTATTCTATGACATTTTTTTATCATACTGTACTTTGTTTTTTCATACTTCAATTTAACTTTTTAAAAAAAAATTTTAAATCTTTTTTTATGATTTTATAAAATCACACAATACCACAACAAAATTAGTGGCGTTTCCCTTTAATGATGTCATAAAAGTTAAAAAAAATGTGTTGCTGAATCAAACTTTTACAACAAAAAGTAAAAAAATGAAACACAACACAGACTTCTAATTTCAAACAAACTGCTGATAAAGACACCTTCACTACTCAATGCTCATCAACAACAGCATATCAGTGTTAATGCACTAAACCTCAGGTGTATTTTAGTGTTTTCTTGGGTTTGTAACAGGACTGAACATTTAGACAAATTTCCAAGCAGTCAGAAGTCAAGGAGATTCTGCTCTTTAGACCAAAATACAATCATACATCTGTCTGTCTATCACTTTTTTATTTAGTGAGAATATTTTTGGATAAAAAAAGAAAATAATATTATATAATAATAGTTTAATTACACATCTCTTCATAGACCTCTTTTAGTGTTTCTCTCGCATTAGTGTTAAACCATGAGAAGAAAATCATAACAATGGGGTAAAAGTCCAAACAAAGAGGTAGAACGTCTGAATAACAAGAAAAGACAAAGTGACAACGTTACCAAAGTATGAGACAAAAAGTCCTTATTATGGGATAAAAGTCATGTGACCATTATAAAGAGTCATGACTTTGATATAAAACAAAAAGTCTAATAACAGAAAATTTCTGATTTAGTCGTAACTGAAATAATTTCCGTCATCCTCCATCATTAAGACTTTTTAAGTTTGGGACTTTTTAGCCTCATGAGTTTAACATGATATAATCTGAATTTTGACTTTTTACGTTGACATTTTTTTTTTCATGATTAACCTTTTCATACATCAGACTTCTACAGTTATGACCTTCTGGTTCATCAAACTTTTGATCCGTCTTTTTTATCACACAGTTCAAACAATCTCTGAATTAGAGTTTTCAGTTTAAGATCATCAAATACGAGAGTTTCACATTTTTCTGAAAAAGCAAAAACACTCCACCACAGCAGCAGTTATCAAACACTTGAGAAAATATTTGAGAAAAACAAAATCTGAAAATAAAATCCTACTTTTATAAATGTTCAAGAGTTCAAGGTTCATGTACGTTAGTCGCTGATGCATCAGTCTGACGAACAGGAGGTCACTGAGTTGCTGGTTTTTGAGTCTTAAGTCTCGGTCAGATATATATCCGTTTACGTGTCAGAAGTCAGAGTCGTCTGTGGCCGAGTTATCCACGGCGGGGGTCTCTGGCACCTCAGACAGGTTTTCAGCTGGTTGTTCCCGTTTCCTCTTCCTCGGCTTGTCGTGGTTTTTGATGTGAACCCTCAGACCCCTCTCTGTGATCTCGTAGATCTGACACCTCGCACAGTGGTATGGTGTCACGCCAACATGTCTGAACTGATCCGCGAGGTACGACACAAGCGACTTGAAGCTTCTGTGGCAGAAGTGACAGGGAGGGATGATACCTGGATGCTCCTTCTCCAGGTGTTTCCTCAGACCCCACTTGTTCCCTTTGAAGACCTTCTCCCCGGCCTCTGATTGACTCTCTTTTTCTGTGGAGCAGATGTAGCAGGTGAAGACGGCATCCTGGTTGGCGTGGCGTTTTGTGTGGGCGTCCAGTTCGACCTGAGAGCGAACGTTTTGTTTGCACCACATGCAGTAGAAGGTCTTCTTCCCCTCCATGTTGTGCATCTGTTTCAAATGAATAGCCAAACCTGAAGCTTTCTTGAAGAACCTGCCGGGCGGCGGGCAGAGCGAGCAAATGATTGTTTTCCCATCGTTATTTTTCATCATGTCGCTGTAGTCCTCGCCGAGCTCCAACACGCACTTGTTGCTCAAAATCGGCTCCTTTTTCACATCCTCTTCCTCTATCGGCCTTATCCTCTTTGGCACTTTCCTCGGCCTCTGCGGCCTCTTCAGGTTGGACGCCACAGGTAGAGCTGCTTTGGTGCTCTCTCTCACCACAGACTGTTTGATAATCGGCTTCTTAGGAGGCAGCGATCTGTCCACAGACATGGTGAACTGGTAACTCTGTCCCTCCTCTTCAGGATTTGAATACTCAATGACATAAACACTGTTGTCCTCCTCCTCCTCCTCTTCAGCCGCCTCCTCCCCCTCCAGCGTGTACCCCATCTCGTAGTACGCTGTTGCTCCCTCTCTGACCTTCGTCCTGACATCAGACTGCTCCTCTGCGATGTGTGTGTCATCGATCCTGACCACAGTGATCCCGTCCATCCCTCCTGCAGGTACGCCTCCAACCACCAGGTGGTCAGAGGACATCTGAGAAAGGCAATAACAAAGGTTTATGGTTTCAGGCATTTGGATGAAGTCCATACAACAACATTTCAGAATCAGAATCAGAAATACTTCAATAATCCCCAGGAGGAAACTGAACGGCCTTGTTTACAGTCAGAAAGAGCGGACCACTCAAAAATGTTCAAATGTTGACTACACAGACATAACAAAACACAGCGATATCGTTATATTACCAATCATCAATAACTAATAACTATTGACTGATATTAAAGTTTTTATGTATAAACACCACAAAAAAAATGCTTCTTTAACAGATTCCTGCCTACCCCACCTTTAAGTTTCTTTCTGCTTATGAACACTAAAAAAACTCACATTAAGTCAAATAAATTCCTGTTTCTTTTTACTGATAAAATATGCTGCAGAAATGTTCTAAAAAAAGAAAACCAGTAGTTTATTTTCATTATCCTGCAGCTCAAGTTTAATGCAAAAACTTATTAAAAAGTCATAAAATGTAGAAAAAAGTGGTGATTGTTTACTATACCCAGGATTTACTTCAAGTATTAGAGGATTAGTGATAACTGATATCTTGTGAAGTTTTGTGTAAAACTTTGATTTTTGTTATTTTTATCCAATTCAATCCAGGTCTATTTATAAAGCACATTGAAAAACAACAAAGCGCTGACCAAAGTGCTGTACAGTAAAATTAAAAACAAAAGAAAAAGAGCCAGACAATTAACATGAACAATAAAACAATTTTTTGTGTGTTCAGACTCAAAAACTGACTTAATTACAAGGCTTCCCTAAACTTTTAAACACTCTACAGTGATTTTAAAAAGTTTTATCACGACTTTAAACAAAGAAAAACGACAAAATCTACAACTAAACTTTATTTACTGAGAGGAAAAGTTCGGTTCAAAATGAATATTTAGAGTTGAATTGCAGTTTTACTTGTATTTTAGAGATTAAAGTGACTTTATGTTAATTTTTAAAGTTTTTATCGCAATAATCACGTGGGATCAAAACGTGGGAGGATAAAAGTTGGCTTTAGTAGCAGAAATACATTTAAATAAACTCACTCAGTCTGTGTGGAAACAGACGCTCAAGTTTGTCCTGCTTTTACCTTCCTCTCTGCAGCATTTGTCTTTGCATTATTAAGAGATAAACAGTCAGATTTATGCAGAATAAAGACCTTTCTCACCATCATCCTGCTGAAGTCTTCCATCACATCTGCAGTTAGCTTAGCTTCAAACCAGATCACGCTGCACACTAAACAAACACCCGCTGTCCGCCTAAGAGGATTTTCTTCCTTTTACCTCAAACAATGGTTGGCTAATTTAGAAAGGATGAGTAGAAATGCACATCTAACTCTTCTAAAACTAGGGTAAGTCCTCTTTCACTTGCTAGAGGAAGGTTTTTAGTTTTCCAGAGGAGGCTGAAAGCAACCGAGATGACTACCCCTTCTCCTAAAATACAAACACTGATAGAGCGTGGGCGGCTACAGCGCGCCCCCTGAAGGCACGGAGGGGTATTACAATCAACAAACGCACCATCCAGTTGCGTGAATCACTTGCCGTTCCTTCCCACAACATTCTGAGAGTCTTGCTGCATGGAAGATGCATAAGATAACTTTTTTTTATGATTTTACAAAATCACACAATACCACGACAAAATTAGTGGCGTTTCCCTTTAATGATGTCAGAACAGTTAAAAAATGGTGTTGCTGAATCAAACTTTTACAACAAAAAGTAAAAAATGAAACACAACACAGACTTCTAATTTCAAACAAACTGCTGATAAAGACACCTTCACTACTCAATGCTCATCAACAACAGCATATCAGTGTTAATGCACTACACCTCGGGTGTATTTTAGTGTTTTCTTGGGTTTGTGACAGGACTGAACATTTAGTCAGAAGTCAAGGAGATTCTGCTCTTTCGACCAAAATTCAATCATACATCTGTCTGTCTATCACTTTTTTATTCAGTGAGGATATTTTTAGATTAAAAAAAAGAAAATAATGTTCTCAGTTTGATTACACATCTCTTCTTAGATCTTTTTTTAGGGTTTCTCTTACATTAGTGTTAAATCATGAGAAGAAAATCAAATAAATGAGGTAAAAGTCCAAACAAAGAGGTAGAACGTCTGAATAACAAGAAAAGACAAAGTGACAATGTTACCAAAGTATGAGACAAAAAGTCCTTATTATGGGATAAAAGTCATGTGACCATTATAAAGAGTCATGATTTTGATATAAAACAAAAAGTCTAATAACAGAAAATTTCTGATTTAGTCGTAACTGAAATAATTTCCGTCATCCTCCATAATTAGAGGTAACAAAGAGGTAGAACTTCTTCTTCTGGCTCTCAACGAAGGCGGTCGCATTTCTCCCCTCTCCCTTATCTCCCTACTCCCTGCTTCGCCTCGTCCCGTTTTGTTTGAAACTCTCAGAGCTTCTCACTGCCTGATCTCCGAAACCAACCATGAAATTGATCAACTGGTCTCTCAACGAAATTCACCAGATTGGAGGTTGAGGGTCTCTGGCACCTCATACAGGTTTTCAGCTGGTTGTTCAGCTGAACAGAATCGCCTCCTTTTTCACATCCTCTTCCTCTTTCGGCATTATCCTCCTTGGCACTTTCCTCGGCCTCTTCAGGTTGGACGCCACAGGTAGAGCTGCTTTGGCGCTATCTCTCACCACAGACTGTTTGATAATCAGCTTCTTAGGAGGCAGCGATCTGTCCAAGGACATGGTGAACTGGTAACTCTGTCCCTCCTCTTCAGGATTTGAATACTCAATGACATAAACACTGTCCTCCTCCTCCTCCTCCTCTTCAGCCGCCTCCTCCCCCTCCAGCGTGTACCCCATCTCGTAGTACGCTGTTGCTCCCTCTCTGACCTTCGTCCTGACATCAGACTGCTCCATGTGTGTGTCATCGATCCTGACCATGGTGATCCCGTCCATCCCTCCTGCAGGTACGCCTCCAACCACCAGGTGTTCAGAGGACATCTGAGACAGGCAATAACAAAGGTTTATGGTTTCAGGCATTTGGATAAAGTCCATACAACAACATTTCAGAATCAGAATCAGAAATACTTTAATATTCCCCAGAAGGAAACTGCTTTTGTCACAGTGACTCCAGAGCAAATAAAGTAGAAAGAGGAGATAAATCATAGATAAAGCTTGTTTGTTACACATGGGTTTCAAAATGTTAATAGAACTGCCTCTGTCCTCTGTGCTAGGTTTGTGTTATACGAGTTAGAATATGTGTACCGACCTTCTCTTCCTGTGTCCTCATCCCATCTGTTTGCCTGTCCGCCGTCTCTTTCAGGCTGTTGGTCAGGCGGTGCGTCTCAGTCTCCCCTCCCCGAGTCGCAGCTCTGCCTCTGCCTTCTTCTGAGCTGCATACTGGGCGTTCTGCTAATTGAGCCCGCAATAACAAATCCTCCTTCGGGGTGTCCTATAATATGACCAGATACGGAAAGTTATTAATAAACCTTCCTTTGTTTTAGTTACTGGGTTGCCAATGATAGTACATTAGTTAATCATCCTCTGCTATAAATTATTGATAAAAACGTGTGTGGTATAAGCATAGACTGTGTATACTATGGACAACTTGGTTCCGCCGACCGCCTGTATACGGATTTGAGGCCAAAAAGCTCTCGGTATTTCCGGGATTTTTCTTCATTTCCTGAAACCAACGCTGCGCAGTAGCGATGCGCACATTCGGCAGGAGAGTCACTGTGATGACGCTCGGCTCAAACAGCGTATCATCCCCTGCGAGAGCTATGCAATCCCTGAACACCAATAGGCGATATCAGGTGTAAATAAAAGAAAACATGAACCCCCTAATAACTTTTAAAAACGGAGCTTCACAGAAAAAAAGAGGACTTGAGCATAAACCAGTCTTGCAATAACTACATGTCAACATCACAAGCAGGAGGGAGAAAAATGTATGTTCTGTGTAATAAATTTCTGAAGTTTGTCCACAGCCCCATAAGCTTTGCGGGTGGAGGCAGGATTTATGACCTATATTGCAGCCCATCAACAGAGGGCGCTGTTCTCGTAATACAGTGCCGTTCTCGGAGTGGCTTCACCCAGCAAGGAGGCAGACCCTGTCCATTCTATATACAGTCTATGGGTATAAGTAGCTAACCCGTAGTAGCATTCAGTCTGTGATGGGCTGATATTCCAATTTACCTCCGTCTTAATTTGTCGTGGGGGCATAATCTCAGTATCTGCTGTGGGAGTTGGGGGAAGACATCTGGTTTTTTTCAGCTTCCTCGGGCTCTCTGATGGAGACTCTCGTTGTCTTTTCTCTGTTGCCACGACGTCTGCATTCGCCTCTTCTGAGCGTTTCCACTCCTGGATAGTTAAAAATGATTGTTCTATTCTCTGGATTAATCGAAAACACTTTGTACAAATTCGACAGGATCTTAGTACGTCGCGACGCAATGTTACTCCAAGTTTCTCCAGACGCTGAAAAACATCACTCGTTTCCCATATCGGTTTTGTATTACTCAGAACGCCGTTAACTCTGCATTTGGCTTTGCAAAGTCGGCAGAAATCGTTTACATCCGCAGAAGAAGACGTAGAAGACATTGTTTGCTCGCACACGTTGAAATATTTCCAAACCTACTTGATGCTTGAAAGCCCAGTAGGGAACACTGCTGCGCACTGTGATGACGTCAGATGCTTGGTTACTTTTTTTTTTAAAACTTTATTATCAAAGTCAACATTTTACAAAAAAGAACAGGAATATATGCATCATGAGGAACACAAATTTACAAGTAGGCATCATTTTGGGCAGATGCTTGATTACGGTGATCGGTTACAGTAGTCCGTGACGTGACATTCCATTCCATTCTATGACGTGCAAACATACCTTTATCTTTGTGTTTTTTTTCTGTTCTTTCTCTTTTTCTCTGCTCCTGAGGGATACGTTCTTTTTTACGACATTGTTTTGCCCCACAACTACCTGCACTTTGGAGAATCATAGACCTAATCAGAATCAGAATCAGAAGGGGTTTTATTGCCTTTGTCAATGAACAGGATTCACAGACTCGGAATTTTTTTTTGGTATGATGGTGCAACAATAAACAGACAAATATAAAATACTAGAATAAAAACTAGTAAGAGCATGCAATAAATATATCAAAGTATAAAAATATAAAAGTATAAAAAGCTATGTACAACTAAACAACCTAGAACTACAGTGCAGTGGGAGGAGGGCAATAAAAAAAATCCAAAGTACATTAAACTTAAGTGACCAGAGATAAAGTGACGGAGTTACTTTATAATAATAATAATAACTTTATTTGTATAGCACTTTCAAAAACAGAAGTTTACAAAGTGCTTTGACATATAGTCATAAAGCACATGGAAAAAGACAAATAAAAACAAAAAGCTCAGTAAAAACAGAATTGAAGGCCAGACTAGGACCAAAATGAAATCATAAAAAAGTTATGAAAAAAGGAAAATGCAGTTAAAAGGGGGATCGAAAGCAGAAACAGGATAGTAAATACAAAAGGCAATATCAACAATGATAACAAAATAATAACAGGTAATACTGATAATAATACTAATGTTTAAATAGAGCAAGAAATAAAACAATAAAAGGCCTAAATGGTTTAAAACTTGTACATGTTGTCTTTCCTACTGCAACATAAAAAAATGACTTCAGACAAAACAAAAACAATTGAGAAAAGATTTGGATTTAACTTTAACAAAATTTTATTCAAGACTGAGAGTCAAGTTGACTAAGTTTTACCAAAAACAATTACAGTGTTTCACAGTCAGAGTTATCATTAACTCAGTGTTATGACATGATTATGAAGTTTGAAGGTATTAAATAAGGAAATAATATGTAAAATATGTAAGTTATATCTGTAACACAAATGTAGCACAACATGACATAGAAACTGGAATAAAGGATTACAGAAATATGTACAAAATAAGAGTAAAGCAATATGAGCAAAATGGAATACATGCATCCTAAAACACGACATTTAAAATGATTTAAAATGAAAATAACACAGCTGTGTGTACAGAGTGAGTTTGGTGGAGGTAGAGATGAAAAACCAGCTGGGGAAAAATCTTGAGAAAAAACCCCAGTGGACAAAAAGCTCTCTACAGTTTCTATGACTAGTGCAGAAAGGCATGTTGTTGCAGTTTCAATGTTTATTTAACAAAACTTGACCCATAAATCAAACTCAGATTAAACACTTAGTTTAACACAATAATGATAAGAAATGAAATCTAAAGCACAAATTCAGCATGACACAAATACCAATAGGTTACAATTGTGATGTAAGAAAACTCAATGAACTGTTGATCTTGCAGGTTTGCACAAAAGAAACTCAGTTTTAACAAAGTTTTACACATCATCTGGTCAAACAGATCAATAATTATAATAGTTTAGGTTCATTTTATCATCAGATAAAAAAAAAAAATACCACAGCTGTGTGTACGGAGTGAGTTTGGTGGAGGTAGAGATGAAAAAAACAGCTGGGGAAAAATCTTGAGGAAAAAAAAACCCCAGTGTACAAAAAGGTTTTCATGACTGTTGCAGGAAGGCATGTGGTCGCAGTTTCAGCCTCCATTTAATAAAGTTTAACCTAGAACTATCCTCGATGATCTCTGTGTCACAGACAGGACATCAGTCTTCATCACTGGATCTTCAGAGCCAACAGGAGCAGGTGGAGACTCAAGCATCCTCCTGTAAATGAAGAAAACTGTCATGAGTGAATATTCTGCCTCATTTTCTTTAGTTTTTGTGTTAGTCAGAAAAAGTCTCACTATATACTAGAATACTGATTATAACAGTGATATAAAGGTGAAGGAGATCTATAAAGTGACAGTGACATAGCAAAGCCTGCACTCTCTGCGGGCTGTGGGGGTTATTTGTGCCCAAAGAGTAAAAACATCCAACTATCATCATCTTTACAGACTCATCTGTTAAAAAGACTAAGGGTTTATGTGCTCCTTAGCAGTGAAAATAAAAAGGCGCACTCACCATGGCCTGAACAAGGCATTTTCTGGACAAGGTTGAAGGTCTACAGGTTCACAGTGGGGCAGGAAGTCTGTCTGTAGGGTGGGGGCTACAGTAGGCAGACAGACATCAGATCCAGTTAGTGGACTGTTTACATCAATTTATCACCTCACAACTTTGACTGAAACAAGCAGGTCACTCACACAGATTGACTCACCTCTAATCAGCGGATGAAGTCTTTGTCTTCATTCTTCAGCTGAGTCTTGGAGCAAGAGGGGGTCATCCACGTCTCGGTGTAGTCCTAAGAAAAAAACACAGATGTGGTCTTTACATCGGCACAGTTTTTCACCTTTAAGTGAATCATTATCTCTGTTCTGTATACCGCTTTTCAGCGATGGTGTCCACGGCATCTGGTAGAGTCCAATGGTGTCCAGGGGCAGGTTTCTGTGCTGGTGCAGGCTTCAGTTGAACATCAGTGGGTCCAGAACGAGGTCCAGAACTGTGTAGATCCGTCCTTCAGAGTGGGAAAGGCACTGGTGTTTGGGAGAGATTAAAATTGGAAAAGGGAACGTGCAAAGTTAGGAAATCTGGGTGCATCTGATCAAACTGCTGTACCAGGTTTCTTGTATGTGGTGAAAACTGTACTCCATGCTCACCTGTAACCCGGTACGCAAGGGCACAGGGTCCAGCAGGTGATGGGGTCTGCAAAGGTCTTCTCCGGCGTAGACTCTGTAATGGCACCTAATAGTTTTTGGAGAAACAGAAAAAGATGGGTCACTACAAAATGAATGAGTTCTAAAATCAAGTCTCTCCAGAAAAGCTGGAGTTTTTGGACCCCGGTCAAAACAACCACAAGAACTTCAAAAAGTTTCTCAAAAACTCTCAGACACTGTGGGTAAAAATATATTAGAATAATTAAAAGTGAACTTCCAGCTACCTTCAGCGTGACGGTGACTCTTCCCAGTCTGGATGGAGGAGCAGGTCTTGAAGTGGGGCAGCATCAGATCCTCCCAGAACCTGGTGGTGGTCAGCAAATCCAACGCCACAGCTCAACACCTCCCCCATATGTTTGGGGGGAAAAGCAGATACATACATGTGCAGCCAGAGGGATGCAGAAAAACCTCGTACAGAATATCAGGACACAGAAACCATGACGACTACAGATATCAGGTTTTTACAGAGACTGAAGGATTAAAACAAACAAAAACATGAAAAACCCTGCAAAGTCACAAAAAAACAACAAAAACAAAACAATAAAAGACATTTTAAGGTCATGTTCGTTTTCCCCATCATCATGTTGGTAGAAGCTGTAGAGGAGATGATGATGAGGGTTTAAGTTGATGTTGATGTTGAGGTTGTCCAAGGTTTCCTTTGAGAACTTTGCTGTTTTGTTGTTTCCCTCAGAGCCGTTGTTGGATGATTTTGCGTTAATTGTTGCTTTTTGGATTTTGTTATTTTACTGCTGGGCCCAGGAAGTATTTGGTCAAACTTGCAAATGACATTATTGTAGTTTATCATGCACAAGTTTTATGAAAACAGAAATAACCTTAAATGTTCTTGAACCACCTTCTTCAACCACCTTTTTCACCTTGTTGATGATTTGCCCTTTTGTCATTGAAAACACCTTTTAAACCTTGTTTGTATTATCACCATGTCTCTGAAAGAACCTTATTGTCCGTTTGAATATGGTGCCGTTGAACCTTTGAAAGCATCTTTGTGAAACTTGTTGGTTGATACTTTTGTAAATGAAAACACATTTTTCTTGTTGATTTTCCCCTTCATCACTGAAAACACCATTTAAACCTTGTATGACCATCGTGTTGCTGAAAGCACCTCGCAAACCTTGTTTTAATATTGTGCCCCTGAAGGCACCATTCAAACCTTGTATTACCATTGTGCCCCTGAAAGCACCTTTTAAACCTTGTTGTTGATTGTCTCCATCATTGAAAACACCATTTCATTTAAACCTTGTATTACCATTGTGTCCCTGAAAGCACCTCATGAACCTTGTCCGTTTTAATATTGTGCCCCTGAAAGCACCATTGAAACCTTGATTTGTCCTCCTGTCATTGAAAACACCTTTAAAACCTTGTTGTTGGGTCAGTAAAAGCATCTTTTAAACCTTGTTTGTACAACCATTGCATTTCTGAAAGCACCTCATACACCTTGTCTGCTTTAAAAGCATCGTTGTGAACCTCGGTTTGCATTTTGCTGAAAACACCTTTAAACCTTGTTTTTGTTCCTGAAAAATAACATATAAAACTAGGTCTTTACAGAAACAGCAAATAAGTATGATTGTTAGAGACAGAAACACATATCTTCCTGCAGACACCTAATGCTGCAGTGTCACTTTAGAGCCAATACTCTCTGACATCCACATCCTAGAGGACACCTGCTTCAATGCAAACAACCAAGAACTCACAAAATACCAAGCTGCAGCATCACCTACTGGGTTTGAAGAGAGGTTATAGTCACAACATTTGAACCACCGACCCAAACAAACATGATAGCAACATAAAAAGAGGAAGAGATCATGCTTAGGTGGGATTAAACTTTGAGAGAACAGCTGAAGCACATCTTAAACAGAGAAAAGTTGTTTCTGGAGTTGGAACAATCAGATCTTTGATCTCTTAATGGGGGAGCAGCTCTTCGAGGTGATTGGGATCCTTCCTGAAGACAGCAGTGGTTGCCAGGTTCAACGCCGGAGCTGCACACTTCTGTGATGTTTGAGGAAAAAGCAGAAAAAAAAATGCAGGACCTGGTTTCTTACATGCTTTCATTTGTTCACTTTGGTGAAAACATCACACTAGCACAACGAAAAGTACATCCCACTATTTCCCAACTTCATCTTACCTTCAACACAATGACGACCCTTGGATTTCCCAGACGGCACAGGAAGGCAGCACTTTGAGTTTCTGTAGTGACAGTTCCTCCAGGAAAACAGTAGTCCCCACATCAGGCCTGCTTATTTGGAGGAAAGCAGACATACAAATGCACCCAAAAAAACATGGCCAAACATAGAGCAGAAGAAAAAAAAAAAAAAAAAAAAAAGGTACAACACATACAGATAATAAAAAGCACAGTTCAAGGACTCTGTTGCACAAATTCAACAGGTTTACAAAAAAAGAAAAAAAATTAAATACAACCAACAAAGGAAACAAAACAAAACAAAACAAAAAACAAACAAAAAAAAGGTACAACACATATAGATCATGACAAGGACAGATCGAGGATTTCGTTACAGAGATTTAAAGGTTCACAATAACATAAAAAAGAAAACACACAAAAAAAGGTACAACAAATATTGACTATGACAAGCATAGTTCAAAGATTTCAATACAGAGATTTCAAAGATTCACAATAAAACACAAAATAAAAAAATACAGTTTAACAAATACAGAGACAGGATTTACCCAGTTTATTGTCCTCGTTCTGTTGGTGTTGACGGTTACATCTGATAGAAATAACGACACAACAGAAACAGTTGCACAATGTCTGTTGGATCCCTTGGAAGCACTTTGATGGTTGTCAAGATGTATTCCTTTTGAAACTTAATTTTGGTCGATAGCAATTTTGCTGAAGTTGCTTTGACAGCAGCCCTTGAACATATCATCTTTGCTTGTCAAAGAACTATTTTTTTGTGTTTTTGTCCATTTGTTTTCAAGTTTTTGAAATCATCTTTTGGACCTTGTTTTTTTGTTTGAGATCAAGTTTTTGAAAACACCTTTTAAATTTTTTTTTTTTTACATCAGGTTTTGGGAAACACCTTGAAACGTTGTTTTCATACAACACATGTAGATCATGACATGAACACTTCAAAGATTCCGTTACAGAGATTCAGAGGTTTAAAAAAAAAAAAGAAAAAAAAAAAAAAAGGTACAACACATACAGATTAGGACAAGAACAGTTCAAGGACTCCGTTACATAGATTTAAAAGGATCACAAAAAAAAAACCAAAATAAATACAAAAATTAAAAAAGAAACAAAAAAACAAAAAACAAAAAGAAGGTACAACACATGAAGATCATAACAAGCACAGTTCAAGGATTCTGTAACAGAGTTTCAAAGGTTCACAATGAAAAAAAAAGACAAAAAAAAACAACAACAACAACAAACAAAACACACCCACACACAAAAAAGGTACAACAAATACAGATTATGACAAGCACAGTTCAAAGAGTCCAATACAAACACCTTTTGAACCTTTTTTAAATCAGGTTTCTAAAAGCACCTTTTGAACCTTGTTTTTTGTTTGAGACCAAGTTTTTGAAAGCACCTTTTGAACCTGTTTTTTGTTTGAGACCAAGTTTTTGAAAGCACCTTTTGAACCTTGTTTTTTGTCTGAGACCAAGTTTTTGAAAGCACCTTTTGTACCTGTTTTTTTGTTTGAGACCAAGTTTTTGAAAGCACCTTATGAACTTTTTCTTTTGTTTGAGATCAAGTTTCTGAAAGCACCTTTTGAACCTGTTTTTTGTTTGAGATCAAGTTTTTGAAAGCACCTTTTGTACCTCGTTTTTTGGTTGAGACCAAGTTTTTGAAAGCACCTTTTGAACCTTGTTTTTTGTTTGAGACCAAGTTTTTGAAAGCACCTTTTGTACCTCGTTTTTGGTTCGAGACCAAGCCGGGTCCATTTCTAGAAGAGATCAGAACCTGTTCCTGGAAAACAACATATAAAACTAGGTCTTTGCAGAAACAGAAAATCAGTATGATTGTTAGTTAAACAAACATCTTTCTGCAGACAGAAAAGGCTGCAGTGTCACTTTAGAGCCAATACACTCTGACATCCACATCCTGGAGGACACCTGCTTCAATGTAAACAACCAAGTACTCACAAAATACCAAGCTGCAGCATCACCTACTGGGTTTGAAGAGAGGTTATAGTCACAACTTTTAAAATCACTGACCCAAACATACACGTTATCAACATAAAAACAGGGACGGATCATGCTTGGGTGGGATTATACTTTCGGACAACAGCTGAAGCACTCACACACCTGCCACCTTTATAAAAAACGATAAATAAGCAGAGAAAATATGAAACATTGAGAACATTGGGTGATAATAGGACAGTGCGTTGCATGGCGTTCTCGACCTCATCTTACATGCAATATAAGGATACCCGACTGTCTGAATGGAGGAGCAGCTCTTCGAGGTGATCTAGATCCTTCCTGAAGACAGCAGTGGTCGCCAGGTTCAACGCCGAAGCTGCATACTTCTGTGATGTTTGGGGAACAGCAGAAAAACACACATACACTTGTGGAGGTATGCAGAAAATAGTTGACTCAAAAAACAGTGAAGACGTAGAAAAATCCACATTCGAAAATCTGTTTGAAACTGAATATGAATTAAGTTATCAGAATGCAGGACCTGGTTTCTTACACGCTTTCATTTGTTTACTTTGGTGAAAACATCACATCAGCACAATGAAAAATACATCCCAGCATTTCCCCACTTCATCTTACCTCTAACACAATGACAACCCTTGGATTTCCCAGACAGCACAGGAAGGCAGCACTTTGTTTGGGAAACACCTTGAAACCTTGTTTTCATACAACACATGTAGTGTACAGATTAGGACAACACATGTAGTGTTTCTTAGTATAAGTTGTATATGCCTGTATTTTTTATCAATATAACCAATGACTAAGTTTTAAAAGGACCAATACAGCAATAAAATGTGTTTGTCAAATTAAATGTGCTTAGTATCCCACCATTCAATTTTCGTTCAGTTGGTGGGAGATACAATATGCCATTAGTGGAATTTAAACTTGAGCTCTTTTCAGCAATCGGATTCAAAGGGGCCCAAACTGACTAAAAATAAACAAAATCCAAACAGTTGTTCTCTACCATCCCATCCCAAAACAGACTAAAACTAGACTAAAAACCCACTACTCAAGCAGAGAACAGTTGCTCTCCACCATCCCATCCCAAAACAGACTAAAACTAGACTAAAAACCCACTACTCAAGCAGAGAACAGTTGCTCTCCACCATCCCATCCCA